GTGGTATTATATTCTCTGTTTCATCCATTTCTTCTATTTATATCTCTTCAAAAGGTTAAACTTCCTCCACTTATTCTGGTTCAATAGGATTTGTCTTCTCTGAACTAATTTTACCTGATTATTCTTTTAGTAGCAACATCAATCTAGCATTATTCAGATCTTTATTTGAATCCATTCCTCCACTTGAAAATTCTATACAACTCTCAAATAGATCTAATCTTTCAGTACTACATTTGGTCGAACACATTCTACTTGATTTTCTCATTAAATTTGTTTCTTTTATGAATATGGAATTATACTCTCTCTTTTAAGTCTTCTCTACATAAACAATTCATCTTATCGTTTAAGATCTTCTTCTATCACTTTTTATGTTTAATCTGAAGCTTTTTAATATCCATTTATTAGATGCTACAAATCATTTTAGCTGACCTCAATCTTATCTTATATTTCCATAGCAATCTTTGCCTTTGTTTAACGTTCTTTCTTTTTTTATTCTACACATATTGATTACTTATTATAACATAATTTCAATACCTTTCCTTTAGCACTTTCTTAACTGTTTTGAATAATGTTAGTCTCTTATACAATTAGACTTTGTGTATGAGTTGGCATTGATGGAGGCTAATCTTAGTTAGTCTTACGAATGCTCTTCAGGGCTCTTTGACAAGCAAACAATGATTATAGTTTCTCATTAAAATAATATCCAACTGGATCCTACAATCACTCAATCATTTACTTATATACTGTCATAATGTTCAATTAACAAAGCATACAAATCAATTAATTTTTATATAACATCGTATTTCTCAGATCCTTTGTGATATCTTTCTTCAAAGTCAAGCAACTCCTGATAGATTTCATCTAATTATATATTTTGCAAATTTACTCGTTATAGGCATTGTGAATTTGTTAATTAATTTAATTTATTGACATCATCAACCTTTAACAAACTTATTTTTGTTTTATTCTATATGAACACAAATTCTATTTTCTTAAATGAGAGTCAAATCTTTATCAATAATGTAAATTAAAAAGAACTATTTGAAATCAAATATAGATCAATTCTTTATTACAAATTTAATATATCAATTCATCTTAAAATTGTATCTTCCTTATTAGAATTTACTATAAAATAGTTATATCTATTTTGATTTAGAATAAACATAAAATTAATGATCAGTTTCATGTTAAAGCATATTAAGAATTTTTTCATTTTAATTAAATAAGTTAGAAAAATAAAATAAATTATTGGATATATTAATCAAAATAATGTAATATTTGTATACTCATTCTACTATATTTCAAAATATTTGATATGCTAGGTAAATTATATTTCATTTATTTAATTATTAAAATGAAAATGATTCTAATATTTCATTATTTCTATTCTGTTATTATGATCCTTGAATAACTTTGAAATAAAACTTGTGAATTAATATTACAAAGTTTCTTATGTATAAATGCTATCAATTTTTTATGTCTTATTAAATAATCAAATAATTATAGGTTATTGACCATCTTTATCTTAATAAGCATTCAAAATCCAATAATTACCTATACTTTATATATATATATTCTAACGTCATCTATTTATTAACCCTTTAAATTATATAGATATATTTAAAAACTACAACTAATTTTTATGTATATATAAGAAATTGAAGTATTGATTACTTAGTTTATAATTAAATAAATATATAATATAACAAATGTAAAAGTTTTAAAATTTATTCAACTTATTAGAAGAACAAAGAAGGAAGACATCCTCAGGACATTCAAATTCACCTAAGAGCAAAGTTACAGCCAATCATGATGATAAATTTCTAAAAGCAAGTATTAAAGCTCATGATTCCAGAAAATACTTATTAAATAATAATCCAAAAAGTATACATGATAGATTGAGTTCATTGATTAGAAAAAAATCATCACCAATAAATAAACTAAGAATTAAACATAATTCTTTGCATGAAAATAGTTTTATTAGTAATACTTATACAACTTAGGATGAAATGCCTTAAATCTTATTACCTATTAATGAAATTTAAGTTCCATAATATAATATCAATTAATCATTTTAATAAGATTAAAAATTAAAAACAGATAACAATAACTATGAAATTATAAGTCTAGAAACTTAATTACAAAAGTATCCTAAATTACAAAATTATTTTCAAATTAAAAGAATTTAGAAAGAATTAGTAAAAAAAGAACAAATAAAGTCAAATTTATCTTTGGCTAATACAAAACCTCCTTAAGATAATTCTAAGTATTAATTAAAATATGGGATCAAATTTGATAATTTTGTTTCAAGATTGTAAGATAAAGATGCTAAAATTAGAATTTAAAAGATATATGACAGGTATATATTAATAATCTCTCTAGATATACTTATTAACGAATAAGTAATAAAGTATATACAGAGATACCAGATGTAACAAAATATACAAAATTAATAAATACTTAAACAGAAATATTTTAAGATGTAATTGAAAATAGGAGATTATCTAGATCAAATTAAAAAAAATTAGAATCAAATCTTAAAGAAATTTATAGATAAGTACTAAAAAATTGATTACTATGATTACAAAGATTAACTAAAATAAATTTATTTATTTTATAATAAATATATCAATTAAATTGATATTTTTAATATAAAAAGATTTTTATATTATTTATAAATCTTATAAATAAATAATACTTTTTGATTATTATTATTATGATATGTTAATTCAAACATCTTAAATAATAATTAGAATTTATGAATATAAATACATATTTAATTATCATTAAATTTCAAATCTATTACTGATATTTGATTTTTATGTTTTCTATTATTCTATTTTTTAATGCCTTTTTAAAATTTTAGTACCATGTTAATTTTATAAGGTATTATTTAATCTAATGTCCAAATCTTTTTATTAATCTATATTTTTTTCATCTAATTTTGGAAGCTATATAAAATCAGAAGTATTTATTTTTTCTATTCTTTATTACTATGCTTCTTCGATTTATTACTTTTACTATTAACTTTATTCTTTCATAGATTAAAATATTTAAGTTCCTAATCCATCATAAAACACATTTAATAATTTGAAAGGAGATTCACAATAAAATTAGGATTATATTTATTCAACATTTTCATTTCTAAAATGATGTATAACAACATTTTTATTTTTATTTTGGAATTTCTTAATATTAACTGAAATCTAAACAATTTTTAATGGTTCAACTTATAGACTAGGTTGTATTTCTTCAATTTATATTTATGTTGTATTTATTTATTCTTCCTGAATAATATTTACTGTTGGTACTTTCTCATCAAATTCCAATAATACTTTTAAAAATTACCAAAGATTTTCTTTAACAATTTCATGGATATTCTTATCACCTCCTAATTAGCTTTTTAATTCTTAAATTGTTGTAGGTTTTGATTCAACTAATTTAAATAAAAATGGATTAGGTAAAAAGTATCTTGGATTTTGATCATATTATATTCCTAATTCTTCTCTTAATTCTAATAATTTAACCATTAAATCAAAACTTTTAGTATCCATTCTCCTATCTTATTTATTAAGTATTGTTTGCAAAGATTAATCTTAATCTTATAAAGGTTTCTTATAAATCTTAAGGGCTGTATCCTTACTTCTTTTTAATACATTTTCAATATAATAATTTGGAATATTATTTATATTCTCGTTTGGTTTATTTAATTTCTTAAGATCTTATCTCATTCTATCATATATATAAAGTAGATAATGTGTGTCAATCTAAGCATATTTAATCATTTCATCAGATAATGGTCTTTAAGTCCAATCAGCTGTTTAATATGTTTTATCAGTTGATTTCTTACAATATTCTGAAAGCAAAAACTAAAATGAATTTTACATAAGTTATAATTCCTTTGATGCATGAAAAGTATCAAATAGATTTACAATATATAAACCAAAATCTCTTTAAAGCCATTAAACATCATTATCTGCTCCATGAAATACTTTTACAATTCTAGGATTTGTAAATACAACACTTAACATTTCACCAAGTTATTTCCATAAAGGAAAAGGATCTATTATATAATCTTAAGTTCTTGTGCTTAATTGAATCAAACAGGTTATTCCTAAATAAGATATTTAATGATTATGTTCTAAATCTACAGCTATTTCACTATAACCATTTTAATCCACTTCATATTATATTTTAAGAATAAGTTCTCCTAAATGATCAGCATTATTAATCATAATAGGTGGTTCTAAATCTCTATATCTATTAATTTTTGTAGGTACTTCAAGAACAAAATCTTATGGTATTAATCTCATTATTTCTTCATAATAAGGATGTGTAAATTCATCAATGACATATTTTTCAAAAAATTATTATGGATTATTTTAAGCTTCTATTATTTTTTAATCTAATTCTGTTTAAGCATAATGCTTATATTTTAAAATAGGAATAAAAGGTAATTTATTGAGTTAGATTACATTAGCAAATCCATAAATATCTTTTGGTTTAGCTTAGTTTGTTTTTTAAACTTGAGGTTGTTTTGGAACAAAACTTAATTTATTCATTTTGTCATATTGAATGGCAGCATTTTCTAAAAATGAATCTAATGTTTCTTCTATTTACTAGATAATTATTTGAAAATACTTTAAATGGTATAGTTGTTGAATTTGTTTAAACATCTCCAATTAAAGATCGTAATCCATTTATTACTGAGATAAAGGCTTGATTTGTTTCAGAAATAATTTTTTTATTTCCTGGTTGTTTTTCTAAGAATTTAAGTTCATCTTTCTTTGGTAATTGATTGATTAATGCAACTACTTATTTTGCATGAGTTTACATATTATAATTAAATTGTGATTATAATAATTTTACAACATTATGTATAATTTTATAAATAATAAGAAACAAATGTAGATAATTCAATTTTTATTATATTTACTGATTAATTGTAAATTAAATAATTTTATACATTGATAAGATAAAATAATGATGATAATCTTTATTCAAATCTTTAATTATATTTTTTCCCAAAATTCAGCTTAAGCTTAGTGATATTTGATTTAAAAATCTGAAAACACTTTAATTAATCTACTATATTTTTCTTTTGTATTTCTATAGAAATTAGGTATTTCTTATTAAGAAATTAATTTATTTATTAAAAATAGAAGTGATTTCAATTATTCAACACTTAATTATTACTATTAAATTTAATTTTAAATAGCTGCCACTTTTTCTTCTTTCTTACCAAAAAGTAAAGTTTTTGAATGTAATTCTTATAATTGAATATTCAATTTATATAATTTCTCATCTTCATCTTTAACTTTTTAAACAATTGTATTTCTTTAAATCAATGCATCTTTACAAGCTATTAATTCTCTTTCTACTATCTTTGTATATTCATAAACTTTATTATATTCATTTTTAGTGCAACATTTCTTTGATAATTAAAATTATTCTTAAGTATCTTAATTAGAAAATACTTAAAGAATATTATTAAAAATACCTGTATGATTTTATTATTGTAATTTTTCGAATTAAGGTAAAAAGTGTTCTACAAACATTACAAATCCTAAATTTTAAGTTTCTTTCTCTTTCATAAGATTCTTGGCCATTGTTGAAAAATTTTCAATCATAGGTATTATATGGCAAGTTGAGGAATAAAATTAATCAATATCATAAACTTGTTAATTATCGTTAAAAGTAAAAGTCTCTTCATATTTGCTTATAATTTATTGTAGAGTTTTATTTTTTGCCATTTCTTACAATTATTCAATGGTCCCTTTAATAAAAATACTCATTTCTTCTCCTAACCAAAGATAAGGAATTTTTAATATCTTTTTCAGAAAATATGATAAGTATTTAGATCGATATGTAATTACATTGGAGTCTAAATTGCCCTAAAAATATTTTATGTATGAAAAATACCAGAGATTTTTTTTGTGGAATTGGTGGAATAAAACATCCTGGCCAAGTCCTATTAAATACCTCCTTTAAAATAACGAAATCATTATATCTTTTATTGATTAAAAACTCTTCTCCTTTACGCACTCCTTTAATCTAATATTGAGTATAGTTTATAAGAGACTCCTCCATTACTTAAGCATCTATTATTTTAATATAATCCTACATAAATTTAATTTATACTTTACTTCTTTATTAGTAAGAATATTTTGATTTAATTTCTACAAAGAAGACCAAAAGATTTCTTAATTAACATATACTAATAAGAAAGAGAGAAATAAATAAAATAATCTATTATAAATTATTTAAAGGCATTTTTATTAATTGTAATAATATTCAACCAATTACACTTCTTGTTAGATTGACAGGATTGTAATTTCTACCTCTAACTTCTTATTCTCTTAAAAACACACTTCTCTAAGGGTTAGCCTTATTTTGAGAGGTTTCTCCAAATATTCTATTTTTAGTATCTATTTATTATTCAATCACTTTTCTTTTCATCCATTAATCATGGAATTCAAAATTTTGTGAAGGGAAATTACTTTTTACTAATAAGGGATCTGATTATTTAGAATTAAATGGTTAATGAGCTACATTATTAAATTCAATAGAAGGATTACTAGCATTAAATCTTTCAAGTGCTATTTATATAGATTTTATTAATACATTTATATCTCTATAATGAACTTCTTACACTTTATTATTCTTATTCTCTTAATTTTGCATTTTCTTCTTTATATAATTCTGTATTATCATTCAATGGACTATCTAATGCATACAATCCACTTTTAAAGCATTGTTTAGCTTTTTTATATGCTCTATTTACATCTTAAAATTCTGATCTCCATTAATGAAATTTCTATTGATTATCTTTGCTAATTAACATCTCTTAAAATTATTCTTTAGGTTTTTTTAATCCTACTTATGTAACATAATTAAGTTTAGATTCATCAAATGGTTTATCTGGAACAGATAAGAGTTTCTTCTGTAAATATTTGGTTCCACTTTTCATCATAGGATGATCACTAATTATATGGTTGATAGATTGTTAATGTAGATAATCAACATGGTCATCAATCATTCGAGGTTATTAACTTCTAAAGAAGAAGCTTTAGTTTTTCATACTATTTTAAAATGGTTCAGTGTTCTTTAGAGTGTTTCCACCAACAGAAGCAAATTAACTTTTTTAAAGAAAAGTTCCTAAATGTTTTGCATCCCATGTATTCCCAATCATTTTTAATGAACCATCTAAAGCTTATGGTAATGGACTAAAGATTGATCATTTAATTTACCTTAATTAAGATTATGTTAATTCATTAGGAACAGTTTTATGAACAAATGTCGAGAGTTTCATCTAAGTTTACAAACAAGAATCTCCTTCTCTTCTCATGAAATCACGAAAGTTATCTCTTCCAAGATCAGGAACTTTTTCCTTTTATCTAAATAGCATCGAGATATAATATCTAAATGTATATATTATTATTATTTATTAATATTTCAATATTTTTCAATAAACATCATTAGCTTCTTATTATTGTTAAATATCTTATTGTTCATCAAGATGTTAATCATTTTATTATTAGGATTCCTCAACCTATTCATTTTAATTATTTGATTCTTCTTGATTTTCTTACTATGGTATAACTTATTATTCTTATTATTATTCTTATTAATATTATTCTTATTATTAATATTATTCTTATTCTTATTATTATTATTCTTATTATTCTTATTATTATTATTACTCTTATTCATTTTATTATTCTTTAGCTTAATCATCCTCAACTTATTATTGTTATTCTTAATATTCATTTTGTTAGTCTTATGCAGGTTCTTCTTAGTGATTCTCCTGTTATTCATTTTGATTTTGTATTTATTATTCTTAATATTCTTGTGTATTTTCTGATGATGTAATAAATTATGATTCAGCTTTTCTAATTCCCTCTGAGTTCTATTGTTCTCTGATTTGTTATGTAGACTATTCAATAGTTTTTCTCACTCTTTATTTATCGAATACACTCTTTTTATCTGACACTGATGTGAAAACTTATTCTGTTACTATTTCTGCTTATCCAGGTATCTTTTCTTAGACTTCCTCTCTTTTCACACTTGGTCTGAATTGTGGTTCATTTGTACTTGAAACTTTTTTATTCATTTAAGCAATCCTATCTTTTACAGATGACACCATCATGGTTTCTTAAACAACTTCTACAAAACAACATATAAATATATAATACCAGCTATAGCAGTAGTTTTTTTTTATTACTAAGTCTATTAAGCTGGTTGAACTACTTAAGACTTGGATTAATAAGCTATTTAGCCTGATGTATCAAGTTTATGATATTTTTTCTCTATTTTGCAATTACCACATTATTGAAATTATCCAATTAAGGCTAATACAAAGTTATTACAGGCTTTGGCTCTAAAATCATCTTCTTCCACTTATTTTTATGCAGCAATCTATTAAAGTTTTTCTTATTAGAATTTTGCTAATGGAAATATTAATTACTAATACCAGCATTATTGTTACTAGCCTTTTAGACATATTCAATGTTATTATTTTCAAAGTCAAGACGATGAAATTTTTTTTCTCTTCCACAATTTCTACACTCTTAAAAACCACCTGTCAATGACAATGTAAAATTAGAACATACATTCATTTTATTTTATGAAATATATATGTAATAATGATTTATGATAATAATATTTAGATATAATGAATAGTTCTTAATTGAGATTATGATTTTAAATCATATTATATTAATTTTTATCAAAGTTCCTGATTGTTTAATGAGAAGCATAAAAAGACATAGTTTATGGAGTTGATTTAAATTGATTATAGATAAAGAGAATTAGATAATTTATATAATATAAAAACGGATTTATGAAGATAGCAGTTCTGATAGCTATATTATCATTGGCGTTCTGTTATAGAACACCACAATATGAGACAGCACACTAGGTCATAGTGCAATATGCTGCTGGACACATTTTGGAAGCATAAGCAGGAGTTCCAAGATAAGTGTTTGTCGATGTAAAATTCAAGAAACCTTTCGAAGTTGTTCCTTAAGTGTTTATTTCTGCATAATTACTTGATTGGAGTGTTGGTTTACCTCATGGGTATATGGAAAGAGTTAGCGATATCACAACAACAGGTAATAAAGTAAAATTATCTTAACAAAGGATTTAAATTGAGTGGAGTTGCTGTTGGACCCTCTCCTCTTTATTCCTTATTTGTTAATTGGTATGCAATTTATGATCCCAGAATTTAAGTTGTTACTTTTGAATCAACAGATGTTAAAGAATTAAAAACTGGATAAGGTGAAAGAAAAATATCATACACTATTGAACACAGTCTTAAGGATGCAACAAATGCTATTGTAAGTTTAATTGGTTGTAAACACTTATTAACAAATCCAATAGTAGAAGTTAAAGTAAATAATTTTTTGGATTTTAGGTTGAATAAGTAACACCAAAATCTGTCACTGTTTCAGCAAGAACATATTGGCAAGCATAATTAGAATTTGTAAGATTCAATGTTCTTTTGGGTACTGATTAAACTTTATGGGTTTCACCTGCATATGTTTTCTATAATGATCCTGCTTCAAGTCATCCATTTGTCAAAAGAGCACCAAGTGCAGCTGAAGTTCCATAAATTATTGAATTACCAAAAGTATGGTAAAGTGGTCCAAGATTACCTATTGTTACTATCAGAGGTTATGATGTTGAAAGAGCTAGAAATATGAGATTGTCATATAATTTTATGGTGTTTGATACAAAGTTGTAATATAATCTTATAACATGTATTTATTATTACAATATCTTTAGGGTGGGATACTTAAATATATGGAGTTTTTCATTAAGCTGGTGTGTTAGTTACTGACACTACTTACAAAATTTTTGATCCTGATTGTGCTGAGCTATTTTCTGAATGTAATTTCAAAGGAGATTCAATTACTGTTTGTGACAGAATTCCAGATTTACCAGGATATGGATGGTCTAAACCAATTAAATCTTTAACAGTTCCAGTATCCAGAAGATTATATCTTTTTAATAAAGAAAAGTATGATGGTTAAAGAACTTCATTCATTGCAAACTAACAATGTATGGAATCTATAACCTTTTCATTTGCCCAACTCCAATCATTTGAAGAAGAAGATCATCCAGTTCTTGCAAGTTAATGAATTTAATATTAACACAATCAATGAATAAAATATATTTATTTATTCTTAATTAATTAATGTTTATTCAACATAAGCTTTTGGAATTTTGAAAAATACATTGAACCTATTGATAAAGATAATAAATTTCCAGAATTCAAAAACAAAAATTAGAGCTGTATTCATTTAATACTTATAGTAGTTGTACTTGTACTCATTCTATTTGCATTATTAATTTAATCTAATTCATATTGTAAAACTCATAATTTGTTTGGTTAAAAAGATGAAGTAATATATAATAAGGAAATTAAGAAGTTAATAATTAAGTGAGTTGGACTAATAGAGAAAAGAGAGCGATTTGGTCTAAATTAGATTTAGATTTTAGAGTAATCTGATTAACTAAATTTACATTATGATATTAATATTTTTATCATCTTACTTATAAGATATACTCTAATCATCATCCTATAAATAATAATCTTAGATTGTCTCTATGAATCTATCTTAGTTATAGATTTTATTAAAAATGGAAAGATAAATTCCTTAATATGAAGCTAATAAACTACTTAATATAAACATATTGTATCAAAAATTCAATTCAACTTATTCTTAAAAATGTAGAATAAGGGAAAAATTTTCATTAATTTAATAATTTAATAATTAAAAGCAACAAAAATGAAAGAACCATAATAAAGACAGACACGATTTTAATCTAAAGCAGACCAATGTGGGATATGTTATAATGCAATAGAATAATAAGTAAATCGAAATAATTATATTTAGGGATATTTGGATAGTTGCAATCATTCATTTTGTTTAACATGCATAAAAAAATGGTCAAATGTAGTATTATCCATTTAATCTAGATTGAAAATACATGTCCACTTTGTAAATAGAAATTTAAATAGATTGAATAAAAATGGAAAAGAGTATTTTATCAGTTTAATTAGGTTTATTATAAAAGTCATAAGATATCGAAGTAGAAATGTAAAGAGAATAAGTAATTCAACTTAATTATCACTAGAATTTTTGTGAAAGATAAAAGCCAATCTCAAAAAGAGGAACAATTTAATGTTTTGCTTGAACTATTAATAGAATTCATTTTGGCTGATAGTATTTATAACATCTATCTTCTAGTTAATGATTGAGTTGTTTTAGATCATTTAAAATTTTGTATATTATATAAAATATTTATATCTATTTTTTAAGATCAAATGGGATAATCGTCATCTGCTTCAGGATCAATAACTTTAGCATTTTCACCCTTCAAAATATGGTTTATCACACTTTAATTATTGGTTATCTTGTCTTCATATTATTTCTTAAAATCAGGAAAATGATACAAAAGAATTTCTTCATATATCATATCTAAAATAAGATATCTTATTACCTTTGAGTTATTCATTAGTAAACTCATACATTTCAAATTCAAATTCCATATTGGATACTGGAGATCTAGTAGGCTATATAAATAAGAATAAATTGTATACTTCATCACTTGGATTGTGTAATTCTTTTAAATATGGATGCTTTAAAGCTTCAGCTGCTGTTATCCTTTTCTTATAATCAATTTCTAATAGTTTTTCAAGAAGATCATATCCTTCAGGAGGCAAACCTTTAACAACTTTATCCCAAGGAACTCTTTCTAAAGTTCCTAATTCTGAAACTAATTCAATCAATTTAGATGATACAAAAGTATCTTAAACTTACATTATCTTTGACTTTGATGGAGTTCCAAGAGTTTCAAAAATCATTTTAATTTATTACTTAGCTAAAATAATGAATATCAATTACAATTTTATCCTCTCCATAAAGTCTTTCCTCTAACTATTTCTGCAAATATACATCCTACACTCCATATATCCACTGCTTAAGTATAAGTTTTAAGTCCTAATAATAATTCTGGAGCTCTATAATATCTAGTTTCAACATAATCTGTCATGATATTAGGGTTTTGTTATTGTGTTTTAGTTGTCTATAATAAAGCTCTTGACAATCCAAAGTCACAGACTTTTAACATACAATCTTATTTGTTTAATAACAAATTTGTTGGTTTCTATATTAATTTTTATGATAATACCAGATCTCTATGTAAAATATTGGCAGAATGCATGTATTTTAAGGCTCTTAGAATTTAATATAGAAACAATTTAAAGTGATCTTAATTCAATTTTGCATGTTCTTTATCAATTACTCGTTTTAAGTCAGTATCCAATAGTTCTGTTACACAATAACTATTAATGCATTTAAGTGTAGTATATACATATCATAAAAATGTTTTCTTGATTTAGGTAACTGTAGTGTGATTAAATTAACAATCTAAATTCTTTTTATAAGAAATTTACATTTTCATGCCTTAAGTTTCTTAAAATCTTTAACTCTCTTAGTGTTCTTTTAGCATAAAATCGATGTTCAAATGTTCTTTCAATTTTTTTTATAGCCACCATTTTTTATTCTGGTACTGTTGCTTTTGTATCTTCACAACCAATTACTATACCATATGCACCACTTCCCACTGAAATCATGAAGAAAAAATACACTGTTATGTTGGCTTATATCTCTTTTCTATAATAAATTCAGATTCATCCACTTTAAACACATTTGCTGAGTATGCTTTTTAAGCATATTAATCATAATTATAGCTAGCGTCCATTAATAAATTATTTTTATATATATAAACTCAATAGAAAATCTCTTAACAAAAACAAAATATTAGCTCATATACCTTTATAAATATAATTAATTTCCTATCTTCCAGATTGTTACTTAAAAACTATTTTCAAGCCTTTTAAAAAGATAAATTATATTTCCATTATCCAAATTCTAAATAAATAGTGTTGATAATTTCTTATATATCTTAAAAGGTTAAAGAATTTGTTCAATCTCTATTGATTATTAGCTTATTCATCAAGTGATATTCAAAAATGTAATTGAAATAGAAAACAATTATATTTTAAATAAATTTATTTCTAATTTCACAAATTACAGTTATTAAAAAGCCTTAGAAATTGAATTCATTTAAAAAATGCCATTTACTATGATAAAAAAGAAAATAGATTAGAAATATAAACAAAACAACTTTCTATTTCTAAAATAGTCAACGTCTATTTGATAAACGTATTTCATCAAATAAAAATCAAACCCTATTTATTAATTTTTTGATGGGACTGCTGCATTTTATGAGATGAATACTTGATTCTTGATTCTATCTTATTCATAAACTTCTAATTTCATTATTAAAAGATTCACTCATCTTAGTATATTTTTACATAAAATTCAAAATTTATGATTATTATTCCATTTTTAACTATCATTTATAATTTATTATCTTTTGATATATTTTCATTTCTAATTCTTTATTTAAAGTCTTTATTTTACTTGTACTAAGTTAGAATTTTATCTCAATGAGAATAATAATTATTATTGATTTATATGAATTATAAATCGATTAAAACAATATAAAACTTACAGAAAAAAATATAGAAATCACTTTTTCCTTATTAACATTCTTTTCATTTCTACTTATTAAAGTTACTCTGTTTAAATTAAATTATGTATAGCAAATTCTACAGCCCTTTAATTATTAAATCTATCAGATAATTCTTGAATCAATCTGTTAGCTGGAATCTTTGATCCTATACTTATTCTTCTAAGGATAGATTCTTCAATTTTACCTACTAATTATTTTAAGTCATTAGATAAATCAAGACCAAATTCTCTAAAATTGTAAAATAATAATATACTTAGATCCTAATGAAACTGCCATCATAGTAGAAGTTTAGAATAATCTATGGGCCTCTTTTACATGTTCTTCTTTGACATGTTCAAGTAATTACATTTTAGCCAATGATTCACTAATTCTAATAATAGCTTCTAATTATCTAACAGTAATTGGTATATGTGATTTGCCTCCACTTTTTGAATGATGAGGTTATTAACTCTTTTATCTATCATCAACATATAGATTCTGAATCATTTAAGCTGCTTATTCTGTAAGTAAAGGTTTAACAGTAGATTTTGCATATTTGATGTATTATTTTAATTTCATAAGATCTAAAGTATTATTACCATCTTATTCAATTTACATTCCTTCTTAATCAGCAAATTATCCTGTATGAAGAGATATAATATGATTAGCTAACCTTTAATCATTTTCTATAGATCTTACATCTCTAATAATAAAGATATTATCAAAACGAGATAAGATAGTGGTTTATAATTCAATTTATTCTTATATAGATTTGTTTTCTTAATATCTACCAAAAATAGGATTAGCAGCAGCTAAAATTGAACATTTAGCATTTAATCTAGTAGTAATACCAGCTTTAGCAATAGATATAGTCTATTATTCCATTGCTTCATGCATAGCAACTCTATCTTCAGATCTCATTTTATCAAATTCATCTATGCAACATACTCCACCACTTGCTAATACCAAAGCACCTGCTTCTAAAGTAAATTATGATGTATTATGTTGATATGTTATTGTTGCTGTAAGACCAGCTGCACTACTTCCTTTACCACTTGTGTATACACTTATATCTGCTGCTCTTTCAACAAATTTCAATAATTAAGATTTTGCTGTACTGGGATCACCTATCAATAATACATTGATATCTCCTCTCAATTTCATACTATCTGGAAGAGTTTTTGATGTTCCTCCAAATAGTAAACAAGCAATTGCCAATTTAATATCTTCATGACCATAAATGGCTGGTGCAATTGAATTAGTAATTATTTTATAAACATCTTTATTTCTACTTAAAGATTTGAATTCTTATCTTAAAGCTTCAGATAATCCTTATTTGATATTAACTTTATTTGTTTATACACCAAATACATGAATATATGGTAAAAGTAATTCAGCATCCATTGCATTACTTTTTATAGTGGCTGATCCTTTTGGTGGAACTTAATACACTCCTGTTATTATCACTCTTTGTCCTGGAATTAATTTATTTACCAAATATCTATCACAATATACCATGAAATTTCTTGGAACTTCTCCTGTTGGAATTGCTTCAGATAACTCTTGAATTCTTAATGTTTATTAATCAATAAATTGACATTCTTCAGGAATTATCACATATGGATCTGTTGGACATTATGCATCTGTCTAAGCACCCTTTTATTATGCTTTTCCTAAGCAATATCTAGGTAAATTGACTGGTTTTGGTCCATATCCAAGATTAATATGTTATTCATCTTGACATTCTCTACATCTTATTAATATTTTCTTTGCTTTCACTTTTATTGATTTAGATGCTGAAATAATGCATTTAATTGTAACTAATTTTCCAATTTATTATGCTGTTAAATTACGAAGTAAATCTGGATTTTATTATGAAATTAATTGCAATTAAAAATCTGGACAATCACTCTTATTAATCATCTTTTCTTAACTATATAACTTAATTTTAATATTTATTGAATACTTCTTTTATTTTATCTTCAAAAGTCTCTTGTATGTCTTATGGACGATCCAAAATAAAAGAATATAATTCCTTATCAGAATTTTCAATATCATTTATTTCAACTCTCAAAATATATTCATTATTAGCAACATTTTCTTTAAGTTGATCTCTATAAATGAATTTGTCTTGAAAATGAAATTCCTTAAGAAATTTTAATATTCTTTTTCCTGCATCTGTAATTGTTGATTCATGATTGAATTCCCTATTAAATATGTTAATAAAATTAAATACTCATCTGTTGTAAATTTCTAATTGGTATAATATATTTTTTCTCCGTCAAAAGTAGTCATTCAAATATATATATTTAAAATAAATTATTGTAGTTACGCGCATTTATTTGGCGGAATTAAATATTCATTAATATAATTTGATATTTTATTATACAACTAAATACTCAGATTATATAAATTAACAAAATCCAATTAATTCATATTTAACTGAATTTGAATCTCCAATCGTCTTTAATTACTTTTATTACATAATTGATTTTGCATATAAAATTTATTTTTCCATGGATGAATTCAAATCGAATTCAGAGCGTCCACAAACCTCTCACATTCTCAATTAATTGAAATTTTTGAGACGCAATCTTGTCAAATAACCATAAAAACCACATAAATCTACAAGGTCACACTTCGTACCAGCTGACATTAATAACATGAAATATGTATAATCCCCTAAACAAATTTTCGGAAATATCTCTTCATCATTAACATCCTTTAAAGGCAAAACCATATCTTAAAGTCAAATATAATATGACGAATCCTATTTGAATAGATTGCTCCCAAAAGAAACAATCAGGAATCTGAATAATTAAACAAAAAAAACTAATACATTCTTCCCATTGTTCCAACAACCATAAGGAAGAATGAAAACAGATTGGATAAACTCAAAATATAGATTATTTTGAATTCGACTAGGCTATATATGAAAAAATGATCTAATAATTATACAGAATACATATTCATATAGATATTATTTATAACAATGTTATTTAACTATAGATCTAGAGATATTTTACTTCTTAATTGGATTTTATTGTCATAACTTCTTTAAATTAAAAATAACAATTTTTCCTCTTTCAACTTTAAAAGTATTTTGATATTATAATTTGGAAAGACTTACAAAATATAATTTGAAAATCATCATTACTTATAATTAATTTATATAGTTGACATCCTAATGAAAACTGGAATATTTTTTTATCAAAATAATTTTATAATTAATTTATGAGTCATTAAGGAGTACTGTCATCAAAGCAATAAGAAGCAGCCTTCTTTAAAATACTTAAAAAGTAATGCAATTTGATTTGTGCAGATTGTTCATCAAAATCTCCTACTTGGGTATCTCTAGATTTTGGTGTTTTTGTATGCTATAATTGTTCAGGTATTTCAATAAAATATTGTTTTAGGATAACATAGAGCCTTAGGTTAAAATATAACTAGGGTTAGATCAACTAAATTAGATTGTTGGACCCAAGAAAATGTTGATTTGATGGATGCTTTGGGAAACGATTAGAATGAGTAAATTATTTTTTATACATATATATAGGTATTGGGAATGCAGATTACAAAAGAATAACAAGATTCAACCATCTGCTACTCCGGAAGAAATTAAATTCTTTGTTTAAGAAAAGTATGTAAAGAGAACTTGGGTAAAGTAGGGTCAGGCTGATCCAAAAACTAGATATACATAATGTCTTATGAGTGGGGTACCTTTTAGAGTTGTAAAAACTAACACATTTTTTAGTGAAAATGGAACTCAAGGTTAACAGGTAAAAGATGATATGAAACAATTTCATTCTTCTCAATAGTAAGGAATACAAAGAAATACTAGGTAATTTAGTATAGACTCTAAATAAACATAAATAGAAGCTAATCTTATCTCACCAGATAAGGGTAGTCAATTTGATTGGAATTCATTTCATCATTTTTCTACTTTTTCTGGTGTACCCAATAATCATTCATATTAAACAAACTAATTATAAATACCTCCTAAAAAATAATAATTGAATGAGGATTAATCACCAAGTTTCAAAGCAAAAAATAATAACTTAAATGAATTTGATTTATTAACCTATTCAACCTTAGCAGATAATTAATAATTAATGTCTCATAATACAGCTAATTAATCAACTTAATAATAATAAACTCATTAGCAATTCAATAGTCAAAATTCGTAATGTAATACAATAACTTAATAATCATGGTAATAAGCTTAGAAAGAGGCTTAAGTACTATCACAGTAACAAGCAAATTAATAAATATGTTATTCAAACCAACAAAATTAATTAATAAACTCTGGAAATAATGCTAACGGGTCTATTAATTAATAATAGAGTTGTGGATAATAACCATTATAATAAACATAATAATCGTAGTAATAACAATCATAATAATATAATTAAGCAAGTAGTAAACCTCCACTTCCTGGAAAATAAAATGTTTAAACCAATTATTAAACAAATAATTTTACTTATTAATAAATAAATAATCAATAAAATTGTTAAACTAATTAATAATAGCCTAAGTTATAATAATAATTAACAAACTAATAATAATAATATCAAAATATGAATCAAAATTAATAAAATAATACATAAAGTTTTGGATTTAATAATAATACTGATATAAATAATTATTAGAAAATATATTAGGGTTATAATAATCTCTCATTTTCAATAAATTAAGTAAGTCAGAGTAATAATAATAATAATAATAATAATAATAATAATAATAATAATAATAATAATAATAATAATAATAATAATAATAATAATAATATTAATAATAATATTAATACTTTTTATTATAATAACTAATAATATAACAATTTTGATACAATTAATTAATTTTCAACTTAAAAGTACTAAAATAATCCCTTTGCAAAAGATGCGCAAGACATAAGGAACCTTTATAATACTCAATAGCCGAGCAAGTATGATTAATTGAGAAACAATCCTTTTGTTTGATTAATATAATTATGTTCTGCTTTTTAATAGTTTCATGTTATGCTTGATTAATTTTACAAGCCCTTGAAATTTTTAAAATTTACCTGAAGAATCTAAACACATCCTATGCAGCATTGTACAAATAATAATGAATTAAAAATATGATTAATTGTATTTTCAATTAGTGTATAATCTTTATCTATACAAAAGAAAATGTGAATTAAATTCTTCTTACTTAAATAGACAGACAAGAATAACAAGTTATTTATTATTTTATTAGAAAATAGGATCTCAAAAGTTGTAATGGAGTAATTTTAGTAGTCAACTATTTTTATTTGCCATAAATAGAACTCGTAATTGCAGAATAAATAAAACAAGAAATTAAGTTATGTGACTAATTGATGGATTGAAATATAATGAAGTTGGCCTTTGATATTTTTATACAAAAATGAGTAATCATTATGTTATAATATTATCAGTTTAGAGTTTATGTTCATCAGCAATAGGATACAGAAGCATGATTATTGGGTGTTTTTGATTTTTGGATCCATTCTTAACAATAATTTGGTATATTCACTGAGATTGCCAATTTTTCTTTTTATGAGTAAATTGATTTTTTAGTTTATTGTAGAATACCCAAAATAAAGATGTAAGATAATACTTATTTAATATACTATTAAGATGAAAATAATAAATTTCTGTCATTACTTTATTATTCTATTACTAAAATGCTTCTAATTACAATTCATTAGAAACAAATAGAATATTTAGAGGATAAAGTTGGAATAAAATCTAATGATTCAGATTCACCTTATTAAATTCTTTTAGGAATAGATTTTGTTGCAAGCCTATCAAAATGTATTTTATTAATTTAAATATTAGTTATTGAATCATTAGATACAAATATTTTAAGAATTATGGAATAATTGATTTAAAGTAATTTCTTTATGAAGAGTCAATAATTTCTATATGAAATGGTTGTTTATTATTAAGAACTATGATATAGCTGATATCAATTAAGATGAATGAAACGTAGAATGAGTTGATTAAATATAAATAAATGATGATTTACTTATTTGAATGTAGAAATGAGGAGGTTACTTGCAATATTTAATTTTGCTAAGAAAAAGATAGATGATGTATGGATATAATATAAATACTTCTATGAATAAAATAATATTTAGAGAGTATTATTTGATTTATATTATTTAATTAAAATGGGATCATCTTGTTGCGCTTAACAAGTTGCTGAAGAGCAAGATAATGAACTAGAAAATAAGTACAAGTACGATCCTAACAAATAACCAGCCAAGGGAGCTTTTAAGAAATAAAATGAGGACAAAAAAATGGTCAAGTTTCCAACCAGAGTACGATAAGAGGATGATGAAAAACATAAGGGTGAGGAAGAGAGTCAGATTGGTAATCCTCTAATTGAAGAAGGCATTGTTGCGCCCGATGCTAAATCTCATAAGTCACAACACACATAGAAATCTCATTAAAATAATAAAAGAGGATTATTTAGCAAGCAGGTAAGTTAATTTGTAAAATGCGAAGATGATTGATTATTTAATTAATTTATATATCCCAATAATTATAACGCTCCATAAATAATAATTTTTTTGATTACTCTTTATTTCTAAATAATAACAATAACATTTATAGCATAGAAGATTTAAAACTTTAAGGTTCCTATCTAAAAATTTGAATAATATTTTAATTTTCATAGGTTTGTTTATCTTTTAGCTTTAAATTAAATGCAAAATAAAAACCAAAATAAATAAACAATAAAAAAACAATATCAAAAACATTCTTATAAATTAAATTTAATTTACTCAATCTAATAGATGAGCTTATGAAAATAGATTAAGAAAAAATAGAAAAAAATCAGCAATTAAATTTTTCTAAAAATAACTTCATTTCAAATTTTATTAGCATTTAAAATTATTTAGTAAAAGATTAATGATAAATTAAGATTAAATATATTTATATGATAGAATAAATGTAAATTAATTTAAGTATAAATAGTTAAAAGTATTATACAAGGCTAAATTATGAATTTTTGCTAATGATTTGANAGATAATACTTATTTAATATACTATTAAGATGAAAATAATAAATTTCTGTCATTACTTTATTATTCTATTACTAAAATGCTTCTAATTACAATTCATTAGAAACAAATAGAATATTTAGAGGATAAAGTTGGAATAAAATCTAATGATTCAGATTCACCTTATTAAATTCTTTTAGGAATAGATTTTGTTGCAAGCCTATCAAAATGTATTTTATTAATTTAAATATTAGTTATTGAATCATTAGATACAAATATTTTAAGAATTATGGAATAATTGATTTAAAGTAATTTCTTTATGAAGAGTCAATAATTTCTATATGAAATGGTTGTTTATTATTAAGAACTATGATATAGCTGATATCAATTAAGATGAATGAAACGTAGAATGAGTTGATTAAATATAAATAAATGATGATTTACTTATTTGAATGTAGAAATGAGGAGGTTACTTGCAATATTTAATTTTGCTAAGAAAAAGATAGATGATGTATGGATATAATATAAATACTTCTATGAATAAAATAATATTTAGAGAGTATTATTTGATTTATATTATTTAATTAAAATGGGATCATCTTGTTGCGCTTAACAAGTTGCTGAAGAGCAAGATAATGAACTAGAAAATAAGTACAAGTACGATCCTAACAAATAACCAGCCAAGGGAGCTTTTAAGAAATAAAATGAGGACAAAAAAATGGTCAAGTTTCCAACCAGAGTACGATAAGAGGATGATGAAAAACATAAGGGTGAGGAAGAGAGTCAGATTGGTAATCCTCTAATTGAAGAAGGCATTGTTGCGCCCGATGCTAAATCTCATAAGTCACAACACACATAGAAATCTCATTAAAATAATAAAAGAGGATTATTTAGCAAGCAGGTAAGTTAATTTGTAAAATGCGAAGATGATTGATTATTTAATTAATTTATATATCCCAATAATTATAACGCTCCATAAATAATAATTTTTTTGATTACTCTTTATTTCTAAATAATAACAATAACATTTATAGCATAGAAGATTTAAAACTTTAAGGTTCCTATCTAAAAATTTGAATAATATTTTAATTTTCATAGGTTTGTTTATCTTTTAGCTTTAAATTAAATGCAAAATAAAAACCAAAATAAATAAACAATAAAAAAACAATATCAAAAACATTCTTATAAATTAAATTTAATTTACTCAATCTAATAGATGAGCTTATGAAAATAGATTAAGAAAAAATAGAAAAAAATCAGCAATTAAATTTTTCTAAAAATAACTTCATTTCAAATTTTATTAGCATTTAAAATTATTTAGTAAAAGATTAATGATAAATTAAGATTAAATATATTTATATGATAGAATAAATGTAAATTAATTTAAGTATAAATAGTTAAAAGTATTATACAAGGCTAAATTATGAATTTTTGCTAATGATTTGAATTGTTTTATCAAGTTATAATGATCTAATCATTAAACTGACAATTGATGTANATGTAAGATAATACTTATTTAATATACTATTAAGATGAAAATAATAAATTTCTGTCATTACTTTATTATTCTATTACTAAAATGCTTCTAATTACAATTCATTAGAAACAAATAGAATATTTAGAGGATAAAGTTGGAATAAAATCTAATGATTCAGATTCACCTTATTAAATTCTTTTAGGAATAGATTTTGTTGCAAGCCTATCAAAATGTATTTTATTAATTTAAATATTAGTTATTGAATCATTAGATACAAATATTTTAAGAATTATGGAATAATTGATTTAAAGTAATTTCTTTATGAAGAGTCAATAATTTCTATATGAAATGGTTGTTTATTATTAAGAACTATGATATAGCTGATATCAATTAAGATGAATGAAACGTAGAATGAGTTGATTAAATATAAATAAATGATGATTTACTTATTTGAATGTAGAAATGAGGAGGTTACTTGCAATATTTAATTTTGCTAAGAAAAAGATAGATGATGTATGGATATAATATAAATACTTCTATGAATAAAATAATATTTAGAGAGTATTATTTGATTTATATTATTTAATTAAAATGGGATCATCTTGTTGCGCTTAACAAGTTGCTGAAGAGCAAGATAATGAACTAGAAAATAAGTACAAGTACGATCCTAACAAATAACCAGCCAAGGGAGCTTTTAAGAAATAAAATGAGGACAAAAAAATGGTCAAGTTTCCAACCAGAGTACGATAAGAGGATGATGAAAAACATAAGGGTGAGGAAGAGAGTCAGATTGGTAATCCTCTAATTGAAGAAGGCATTGTTGCGCCCGATGCTAAATCTCATAAGTCACAACACACATAGAAATCTCATTAAAATAATAAAAGAGGATTATTTAGCAAGCAGGTAAGTTAATTTGTAAAATGCGAAGATGATTGATTATTTAATTAATTTATATATCCCAATAATTATAACGCTCCATAAATAATAATTTTTTTGATTACTCTTTATTTCTAAATAATAACAATAACATTTATAGCATAGAAGATTTAAAACTTTAAGGTTCCTATCTAAAAATTTGAATAATATTTTAATTTTCATAGGTTTGTTTATCTTTTAGCTTTAAATTAAATGCAAAATAAAAACCAAAATAAATAAACAATAAAAAAACAATATCAAAAACATTCTTATAAATTAAATTTAATTTACTCAATCTAATAGATGAGCTTATGAAAATAGATTAAGAAAAAATAGAAAAAAATCAGCAATTAAATTTTTCTAAAAATAACTTCATTTCAAATTTTATTAGCATTTAAAATTATTTAGTAAAAGATTAATGATAAATTAAGATTAAATATATTTATATGATAGAATAAATGTAAATTAATTTAAGTATAAATAGTTAAAAGTATTATACAAGGCTAAATTATGAATTTTTGCTAATGATTTGAATTGTTTTATCAAGTTATAATGATCTAATCATTAAACTGACAATTGATGTAATGATAAAATATAAATCGAATATTACTTTAAATAATTTATAAATTTCTGATAAAGATATATATTATCATATAAATTTAATTTACAAAGTTAAGAGAGAACAAGAAATTAATTAATATCAACTGTTGTTAATGTTATTTTTATACAATTAGATTTTATTTACAATATGATATTTAATAAAGATCAGAGTTAATAATTTAAATGTCTAAATTAATTAACTTTTACTATATTAAATATTAAGCCAAATTATCTAAATGAATCTATATAATGAGTTACTTTCTCATTGATTTATTTTAGTGTTATTTTAATGAATTCAAAGTTAATGATCAAAATTGATTTATTATGATGAAGAAAAGAGAATAATAAGATTATCTATTTATTTTCATTAATTATATTTTTTTATTAGTAGATTTTACACTTCCTCATATGCTAATGGATCACCACTCATCAATTTTCTGTGAAGTAGCTTAATATTTTTGTATGACTATAATATTTACAGTGTTTTATCATCAGTCAAATTCAAAATTTATTTGATTTCATCATCTAGACATATAGGCATTTTTACATAAGGGCATATTTGCATGATTCCAAACCTTAAACTATTGTAATTTCATTCTCATCATATTAAAATTGAATTTGCTCTTTATAATCTGAGTCTAATGACATTGACCTATATGAATAAAGCCATCATTTTTTCTAAAAAAGAACTTATAAGGTTGATTAGTTTAATCTGTATTTATGTGCACATTACGAGTGGAAATATGTCTCTTAATATTCTTGCTCTATTTAATGATTTTAAAATGTCTGTCTATCTATTAGTTATTTAATTCTGATTCACTTTCATCTGGAATAGTTGTTGGAGTTGCTTAAGGTAACTCTTTGATTAATTTTAGATTCAGCTTTATTCTTGTACCACTAACTGATACAAACTAGGAACAGCTTTTCTTTTGTTCTTATTCATTTGATTAAGGTGGTTGTGGAACAGTTTATTATGGTTGTAAGTTTTAAACAAATGGGAATTAGTAATACATGAAGGGAAAAAAGATTTATTAGGAATTCATAAACTGAGGAATGTACAAAGGAAATGCAAGTGATTGAGCATTAATATTGATTGGGAGATACTCATTGTTATTCATAAAAAAATTATTTAACTTGAAAATATGAAAACAAGTTCAATCATTATACTCAGTCAATAATTTTTAAGTAATTATTAAAACTTGTTTTTTAATGGAATGATTAGGAACAATCATTTAAGCATAATTCATCAAAGCCTTATTAGATTTATTGAAAATCTTTTGACTCTTTGTTTTTAATTGCCAATTTTTTGGTCATCCTTTTACGAATTGATTTCTTTTTTGGTAATAAATGTTGAAAAAATGGTTCAATACATAATTGACTTAATTTCATTTGAATTTATGATTCATTATGTTCATTGTCAAGCGAATATTATTCAATTTCAAAAATGAGCTCTTATAAAAATTCTCCTCTTTTAGATTACATAATAATCTTTATACAAAACTTTAGAAAGAATATAAGCAATGTTTAAAATTCATTCAAATATTTGACTTATATTATTATAATGTACTTATACATATTATTTATGTCAATAAGAAGCAACTTATTGTCCGAAATAAACCTTTTATTAAGCTTTTGCATTCCATTCAATAGATGTACTTTCAAAAATAATTACAACTGTAGATCCTATTTAAAATAATCAAATGTGAATAGTACCCATTTCAAATCTTCCAATTTCCTATCCCTTTTTTATATGAACACCTTTTTCACTAGATTAATAAGGAGCATTAACACTTAAATTCTAATAATTTCTATAGCCACTTTTATGATACGTGTTTGTATTAGTAATCAAATCAGAATCAAAATTAACCTTCATTGAGCCTACATTAGTTGCACCAATGAATATAATATACATCAGTCCTTGTTCCCATTCTCCTTCTAGAACTACTCTTTCATTTCCTTCATATAATCCCTAATTGATTATTTCAAAAAGTATATATACTTGTTTAAGACTGCTTTCCTTAACAGGTGCTAATTTACCTGGAATATGTAATCTACTTCTTGCAACAAAGTCAACAGGACAATGGTATCGATGATAATCACCAGGAGCAAGATAAAAAATACATGACCAAAGATTTGAACATTCTTATTTTTTTTTGAATTCCATCTCATATCCTTTGATGCCTGTTAAAAATTATCCAATTTAATATGTAACTCTTTTTACAAGTAAACATTCATTCTTAGTGACTTTACTTATGGATAAGATCTTTGAGTCAGCAGGACTGATCATTCCACATTCAATTTTTCTTGGTTTAATTTGTCTAGTAAAGAATTTATTGAATGTTTAGTAATAAGTCAATGGATATATCATGTCTTATTTTCTTACTTTATAGATTTCACTGAATATTGTGTAAATGGGTATTCTAACATAATGTATGTAATAATACCTTAAAATTTTGGGTATATACAAATTCATCACATATCCTGTTGTTTATGATACATATCTAGATATTGGTAACTCTAGGAGTTTCTTAACGATTATCAATAAAACTAGAAGTTTTAGATAATAGATCTAGTATTGGTAACATAAAATACATTTTAAAATTATGTGGTGAGCAAGTCAACAACATAATTAAGACCATAGAGAACCAGGACCAAGAGGGAAAGATTCTTAAAGTGGGTTTATTTCATCAATTATTAAATGTTTAATAATTCATTTCAATATTGAGTGTGTTATGGTTTTAATGATGCACTTATTTCTTAATATTAAAGTATATAAAGAACCCAGTGATAAGCAAGATAGTCAGAAATATACCTAATAAGACCCATTGTTAGATGGATTCCTATTAATTGTTAGTATAATTCATTTCTATAATTGGTAACGGATATGTAAGTTCTTCTATTTCATTTTCTATTTACAATTATACTTTTCCAACTACACTTAAATACTTAGCTTATTAGTCTTTTGTAGCAAAAGTAACAGTTGTTATATTACTTTATGTGCTTTATTCCACAACCTAAGTATATTTACCATAAACATTGGTCTTGTTGTTAACATAATTAGATTCAAACATACATGCAAGACTCTTCTCACCAATTGCTTATTACATTCTAACAATAAATGAAATGTGGATTATTGTAATATCTTTTTTTACTTAAATTAAATTTGGTATATGGATTATTAAATTATTATCAACTTTGTACCAATCTATAGATTTGTTACTTATTTAGAATGATGTTTATGGAATTATTTCTCCATAATCAAATGTTTGTTACTTAATATAATAAGATGAAATTTTATTTTTATTATCATCTTAAGTATGACTTGATATTAATTTCACTAGGAAATAGTATGTACCTGCTTCAAGTTATAAGATTGTTTGAATGTGTTCTTGAGATGAATTCATGACTTGAATTTCAAATATTTATTTGGCAAGATTAGTTTAATTTTTTGTACCCTATACTAAAATAGATCCTGAACAAGTAAAGACTTCCAAGAGTAATTTTGATTTTGATTATAAAAATATTTCATAATAATTTGGTTATCCAATTTTAGTTAATTAATATTGTGATATACTATCAATTAAAGCATTTAATTCACCATTTGTAATGATTATTTTAATATATGTATTATTATGTAAAGCTTTGATTGAAATATCATACAAACCAAATTAATCATATAAATAATATGATATAGCTTTTGGATATTTATTAAAATAATTAATAGGTTTAATAGAATTATGACTAATATCAATATATAGATTATCTAAGGATTAATGAATATTTTAAATTTATAAAGTGATAAATTTTGATTGATTATTAATTAATTAAGTAATAGATTGATATTACAATTAAATAGTATCTTGTGCTTTAATATAATAAGTCATCATCTAACCCAAATGAATAGTATAAGTTTATTTATAGAATCTGACTGCACTAATCTTAAATATAGAAATTGGTGCTAATGATTCAGCCTTAATTGTAATTAATGATACATTAATATTCTTTTTTTTGAATATAATTTAAGTATCATTTAATACTCTTTATGTTTAATCAGCTTCATCATTGTGTTTTAATTCTTATCCTTCTTTCAAATATAATTTGATATCACCACTTATCATTTAAATACTAATTTGAACATTTTCATTTGAATAAAAGTGATATTGTGAAGTCTCTGATTCATTCAAGATTTCTCTCCATTATAGACCATCATATAAAGTAGTTTAATATAGATGACTACTAAATTCTATTAAACCTTTACTATCACCTGAAATAGCAGTAATTTCAATTAAATAAATGCAACTAACATTTTTACATGTCTTTACTAAATATGAATTTTGTTTATCAATAATTTCATTTATAAATAAAGTATCATTATTATTAATGACAGTTTAATCATAATCATTAGAATCCAATCTTTTTGCTCTTATTTATAATTTCCCTTACATTGCAAATACTATAATTCTAAATTCTTTATCATTTGGATTATCTCTAAAAATATAATTATAAGGTATATTTTCAACAAATAGTACATCAAATGGAAAACCTAGAAAAGCATTAAAAAATTTAGCATCATCAAGATTGTAACTAATTTAATATTCACAATCAATTTAACCAAAAACTCCTATTATATAATCATCTTTTTCCAAATAACGATTATTTTATTCTTAAATAATATAAGTTGATCCAATTATTTCTACCCAATATAAATCAAATTCATATAAACTAGGTCTTTTGTCTTTTCCTTTAGAGATTCTTGGAATAGCAAGATCTTAACCACCACCTTTGACATGAACATTAACTTCAATTGATTTAACATCTTATGTTAAACTAAGTTTATAATATTTTGTTTATCCTTTTTAAACTTTATCTATGATAGGATCTGATAAAGTTAATAATTGTACTTCCTCATAAATACCAATAGTATATGTGTCATTTTAATAATGAGGTTCGATAGGTTAAACATGAATATACAATATTTAATATTTCTCAGTTTCTGGAACTATTATGCTTTAAAATTAAGTGAAATAAGAATGTGATTTGAATGTTTCATATTTCAAATCTGAATTATCTTTATTACCATAATAAGCCTCAATATTTGCTTAACTTCCTCCATAAGAATACCATTGTACTGAGATCTCTTTTTAATTAAGGATATAATAAAATAAAGTTTCTTAATCGAAAGTGACAGTTTAGGGATAACCTTCATGTAATTAGATTCTACTATTATTATATTTGGTAGATATTGTATAATAGATAGTTCCTGATGATGATGATACTGATATATAAATATAGCATAGATTCTTATCATTAATTTTAGAAGTATTTTATTGACATTATAAATCCGAATCAGGAATAGTTAAATTCTTACCAATTAGATAGATATTATAATGTTTAATATTTGGATGTGTATTCTTTTAATCAAAAGATATGAACATGTCTAAATCAACCACATCATTGCCTGAGTAAATATCTTTAGTAATAGTGAGATTTCTAGATTGCATAGGTAGTTTGTAATATCTAAACTTTTTCTCAGCTACAGTACCTATAATCTATTATCCTACTTGATAAAATTCAATATCTCCATGCATACTATATTGGATAATGAATTCACCATTTTAATTTAAACTTTATACTCCAATATAATATTGTGTTGCATAATTAGGATCATCAATATTTATTTCAATTTATTTAGTATCCTTCCATTAATAACTATTACTATCTGGTATTTCTTTATTCTTTAGATTAGACTTAACATACATAATGAAATTGCCTTCAATATTTTATAATGTTATTGTAAAATTCTATTTCTAAGGTAATTAAATATAAAAGAAACTGTATTGATCACTTGATAAATATTTTTGTGGTACTCCACTTTAAAGTTATATAAAATGAGTTTAATTGATTGTTTAATATCTTTCTACTTATGTGTAAATACCATATTAACATTGAGTATAACCATATACACTCAAATAAAATGTTGTAGTATTACTAGCTTTCAATTAAGAAGAACTCTTCATTTCATGATTAGTAATATTAGGATATTGTTCTGATGAACTACCAAACATCATACATGTTCCATTATATTGAGTTATTTAGAATTTGATACTTTTGATATTAGTATCATTTAGAATATTATATAGATAATAAATATAGAATCCTTCTTCCACATGAAATTGTTCTTATTCACCTTCTCTTAAAATAATATGTTATTCTTTGCGTTTGGCTAGAATACGAAATTGAGTCTTCATATCACTTTTTAATCCAATTAAATAAAAACAATCTTAACAATTTGTATGAACAAAAGAAAGTGAAGATTAAGTAATATGTGCAGATGTATCAGTATCATTACCTTCATAATCACTTTAAGTAATTTAACAATCCTCACTTGTACATTACTTTAAATACTTTTCTACTTAATTTGCTGTAATCTATAAAGTAATTTATTCAGTTGTTTAGATTGGTTTCAATTTAAATTATAAGATCTCCTTCTCTACTAATTCACCACTATTATGTAATTTAACTTTACCTTAATGGAATATTATAGTCCAATTATTGGATTCCATCCCAAATATATGTTACTAATTAGTAACCTGATACAACTTCACTAGAAACACCAATATAGAATTCATTATCTGTACAATTTAATGCTTGTCTTTCTTAGTATGATATTGTTAGTTATTACATAAACCAAGATCCTGTTTACCATTCATAATAATCTAATAATTTTGGTTCTCTATTATTGAATATTCATAATTACATATCACAATCTACAGCTACTTTAGGATTTCCAATCTATGGTAACAATTATACTATCAAAGTACGATTCTACATTTTCTCTGGATTATGCACTTTTAATCTATATACCTTATAATCATAGGCTTCAATAGCATCATCTACTACCTCATTCAATCCAATATATCTCACTCATATAATTGTATAATTATCTTACCTGTTTAATTTGTCAGTGCTATACATATCATCAATAGGAATGCATTCATATTATTAATTATTTAATATTATAATTGTACAATTACTTATATCTCTTAATCCTATCTCAAATTATTATTGTTTTAATCATAATTACCTATCTATTCTATTATAAACTGACAAATCTTTAATATGTTATACTATTTATAATACTCTTAATTGTTGTTAACATAATCATACATTTTAGATCTCCAATTTAATCTAATAGATTTAATCTCACTAATTAGACACTTATAGAATATATTATAAAGACATTAATATCACTAAAATATTCACATTATTCTGGAAATAATAAAAAATGAAATAAATAAGACTTTAAATCTATAATAATTTTAAGCAATATTAAGTAAATGTTTATCAATTTTTATCTACTAAATTTGATTTATATATAAGAGTAAATTATATAAAAATCAAATTTGGTTTATTTTACAAAAGAAACCCCAAAAGATTTGTTTTAATCATTTTATGATTTATTAAATTTATATATTTTTTAATTCCTTCTTCTCTTCATTTGAAATTATTATTAGTATATTAAATAATTTAATCAAAAAATAAGTATATTTATTATTATAAATATCATTTCTTTATCCATGAATGATAAAAAGCAGATAAAGATGACAAGATAAAAAATACACAATAAAAAATTGTTAGTACCTTAGCTATATATTTGGTAATTATATAATGATTACGAACTACCATAATTAATGTAAATATAAGATTAAGAAATGCAGCTAAAATGACCATTAATTTAAAAGCATTTTATTCTATGTCTATAATACTAAATAAATTGAATTTGATTGGTCCTGAATTTACAAAGTTTTGTTTAAGAAATGCAACACTAAATCCAATCAAATTAGTAAACATTTAACCAACTATCGTATTAGTTAAATCAATTACAATATATTCCATTTAATGCCATTATTGCTATTATTAATATTAATAATATACCATAACCTTCTTCTGCTAAAGAAACCAAAGTGATGCAATCAGGTAATACATTTCCCATAGCTATTAAACTGAATCCCAAAAATGTCTTATTCAATTCTGTTATTATAGCCCAAAATTATAAGAAATCTATTAGTAATCCAGATAAAAAGAATATCCAAACTAATGAACCTAAAATACAATATAATTGGATATAAAAAAAATATTAAGGAGGACTTCTTTAAGAAGGAGTAGTAGTATTAATAAAAATTGATATTCCAAATCCACACATTAATGCTAAAAAGTAAACCCACCAAGCAGGGAAACTAAAAACAACAGAAACAAAGAAAATTGATCCAGGTATTGGGAAAACTATAATAAAATATGCATAAAATTAATTAATTACTTAAAGCTTAATTTTTGTCAAATTGATCTTCTTAAGGCTTTGGTAAAGTAAATTTTAATATCATTTATAATGGATAGATAATTATTGCTCTGGCTTTCTCATGCAATGATAATTTTTCCCATTTTTATTTTTATGTATCCAAATTAGCCATCGTAAGTTTTACTGTTGATCTAAATTTCTTAGCAAGCATTTTAACTCTCGTATCTCCAGAAACATAATTTAATCTAATCAATGGATTTGCCCACTTTACTGGTTTAGCTGCTTATTCAATATCTGATTTTCTGTCCCATAAAAATATTAATTTCANAAATAAATAAGACTTTAAATCTATAATAATTTTAAGCAATATTAAGTAAATGTTTATCAATTTTTATCTACTAAATTTGATTTATATATAAGAGTAAATTATATAAAAATCAAATTTGGTTTATTTTACAAAAGAAACCCCAAAAGATTTGTTTTAATCATTTTATGATTTATTAAATTTATATATTTTTTAATTCCTTCTTCTCTTCATTTGAAATTATTATTAGTATATTAAATAATTTAATCAAAAAATAAGTATATTTATTATTATAAATATCATTTCTTTATCCATGAATGATAAAAAGCAGATAAAGATGACAAGATAAAAAATACACAATAAAAAATTGTTAGTACCTTAGCTATATATTTGGTAATTATATAATGATTACGAACTACCATAATTAATGTAAATATAAGATTAAGAAATGCAGCTAAAATGACCATTAATTTAAAAGCATTTTATTCTATGTCTATAATACTAAATAAATTGAATTTGATTGGTCCTGAATTTACAAAGTTTTGTTTAAGAAATGCAACACTAAATCCAATCAAATTAGTAAACATTTAACCAACTATCGTATTAGTTAAATCAATTACAATATATTCCATTTAATGCCATTATTGCTATTATTAATATTAATAATATACCATAACCTTCTTCTGCTAAAGAAACCAAAGTGATGCAATCAGGTAATACATTTCCCATAGCTATTAAACTGAATCCCAAAAATGTCTTATTCAATTCTGTTATTATAGCCCAAAATTATAAGAAATCTATTAGTAATCCAGATAAAAAGAATATCCAAACTAATGAACCTAAAATACAATATAATTGGATATAAAAAAAATATTAAGGAGGACTTCTTTAAGAAGGAGTAGTAGTATTAATAAAAATTGATATTCCAAATCCACACATTAATGCTAAAAAGTAAACCCACCAAGCAGGGAAACTAAAAACAACAGAAACAAAGAAAATTGATCCAGGTATTGGGAAAACTATAATAAAATATGCATAAAATTAATTAATTACTTAAAGCTTAATTTTTGTCAAATTGATCTTCTTAAGGCTTTGGTAAAGTAAATTTTAATATCATTTATAATGGATAGATAATTATTGCTCTGGCTTTCTCATGCAATGATAATTTTTCCCATTTTTATTTTTATGTATCCAAATTAGCCATCGTAAGTTTTACTGTTGATCTAAATTTCTTAGCAAGCATTTTAACTCTCGTATCTCCAGAAACATAATTTAATCTAATCAATGGATTTGCCCACTTTACTGGTTTAGCTGCTTATTCAATATCTGATTTTCTGTCCCATAAAAATATTAATTTCATATCATCAAACTTCTAAGCTATTTCTAAATCATATTTTGCCTCATTCATTGTTTAAACTCTCTCACCTAAACTATCTTTTCTACTTTTTATTATTTTGTCTCTTTCTTAATAGTAAACCAAAGAAATTAAAATTAAATATAAAACTGTAAGTGAAATACTGGAAAAATAGGAAATTTGACCTATTACTCCAAATACCATAATAACAAATATTGAAATTAATTGAAATCCCACATTCCTCCAAAAATGTACAGGATCCATTTTTATTTATGATTTTGATGTCTTTGTTATCAAATATACACCTATACTACACAAGAACTAAACAATATTATTTTTGTTTATAATTTACAAATCCTGCTCCCATTGTTGCACCTATATTGTAATCTATGCCTCCAGGATATGATGATGCAACTAATGCTGTAAGTACATCCCCTGCTCCATTTCCAAAAGCCAAAAGAGTGACTCCTGCCATAATGTCTGAAATTTCAAAACGCACTTTCACAGCTTCCAATGAAGGAATCAAATATTCTTTTATAACTTCACTTATTCCATTATAAACCTAATAACCCACAAAACCAGATACTATTAATGTTGTCTATTTTATAATAATATTAATTTACCATAATAGATCCATTTAACCAACAATAACTCAAGATGCTATAATTGAAATATAAAAAATCATGTTAACAATACTATTATGCAATAAAACATTATTAACTGTGTTAATTTGCTTACATGAAATCAGATTTTTAACATGTAAAGATCTTTGGTTCATATGGAGGAGATTCAACTTAATGCCAATACATTTTATATATATATATATATATTTTATATGGGAAATAATTGTACCTGTTGGAAAAATGACCCAATAAATTAGATTGAAGTTAGAGGCAATTAAAAACCAAGATGGCAAAGTTTAGAACTTTCAAAGAGTTAGGAACAAAAGATTATAAAAATGTAATCTTGGATCCGTGGCTGGTAAGCTCGTTAAAGAGTATGGAAAATGCAATTACAAAAATATAACGAAAGTGTTAATGAATAGTTAAGAACGTAGCCTCTGTTTTTTAGGTAGGTATTCCACAAGTGTGATTAATGTGGGTTAGAGGCAGTTACCTCCATTTGATTTTGGAATTGATGATATAAATGATTAATTTGTTCATTAGAAGGTTCTGAAAGCACCAAGCAAATTAGAAAATGGGGCTATGTATTTTGGAGAGTGGTTAAATGATTTAAGACATGGCAAAGGCATACTAATATGTGAGGTAAATTATGCAAGAAAATATATTTAAGGATGGATCAAAATATGAAGGTTATTTTTAATAAGGAAATGCTCATGGAAGAGGTAGATTGATTCATTCAAATGGAGAGGTTTATGAAGGTTAATGGGAGAATGATGAAGCACATGGATTAGGCACATACATTCATGAAGATGGAGCAACTTATACTGGTTTATGGGAACATGATTTATAACATGGTAAAGGATGTGAAAAATGGCCAGATGGAAGGTATGGTGATGAGATTAAAAGTAGTTATTTTGAAGGGTTTTATAAGCATGGAAAGAAGGAAGGATTGGGTAAATTTTTATGGATTGATGGAGCTAAATATGAAGGAGAGTTTAAAGGTAATAATATTGATGGATATGGAAAATATAGTTGGCCAGATAACAAATATTATCAAGGATATTGGAAAAATAATAAAAAGTATATAATATAATAAAAATAGAAATGGAAAAGGTAAGTATGTATGGCCAGATGGGAAAATATATGAAGGAGATTTTGTAAATGATTAAAAGCATGGTTAAGGTATTTTGAAGTTTCCAGATGGTAGAACATATGAAGGAGAGTGGTAGAATGATAAATAACATGGGAAGGCATTACTAAGATTACCAAACGGTAAGATATCTAATGGTGAATGGAAAAATGGAATTCGTATCAATTGATATACTTTTAATCATTTATTAAAAATTATTCCCAAGTCTATCTTCTTAGTTATTAGATATTTGGTCTGAATGTACGTGCTAGTTTTTATTAAGTTTATGGTCGATAATCTTCTTCTTTATATAATTATAAGTAGATTTATTTTTTATTCTTAATAACATCTTAAGCCATTTATAATGGACTTCGAATACTAAAAGTATTTCTTCTAGCAGATCGAACACTTTTAACTTGATAAGTAAGATTTCTTTATTTAACGTATTTCATGTCAATAAAATAATTTTCATCTTGAGTCATTTGTCTTGATTTTCTTTCCAATCTTACTTATTCTCTTTATAAACAAGCATTTCTTAATTAATCATATAAATGCATTTAATTAGTAGATTATAGTCTTTAAATTAAATTACTAATTTAAATTTTTAAGACTACTCCATTTTCAGAATTACAAATAACATTTTGTTAACGTTTTTCAATATTAAGAAAGCATTCATGATCTCCAAAAAATTGACCTTTTTGTAATAATGCCACATATGAAACAAATTTTTTAGGACTGAATAAATTATCATTATTTTCTGTAATAAGGAATTCCCCATTTTTAATTAAATATATTTCTTATTTACTTTATTGACCTTGACAATAAACAGTTTATCGAAATTAATAATGGAAACTTTGAAAAGCATTAAAAAGTATATCTAATAGTTTTGTAGAAACATTATATTATCTCATACAGGAATGAAATTCTTTTAATTATTAATTGACTCTATTTTCATATACTTTTTATAATATTTCTTTATAATCCTTTTTATTTAGAACTCCAAATATGCATTTACTATCACAAATAATACTAGCTGATCTTAAATTATCATTTAATAATGCCATTTCACCAAAACTTTCACCTTAAATGAGTTTATTTGTATTAAATGATCTCTCTAATATTTTTAATCTATATACCTTTTTTTTATTATAGTTGCTCTATCCAAACCTTCTATTTTAATATCAAGTTTAGGATCTTTGTACACATAAACAGAAACATTACCACTCAATATGATAAAAAATGAATAAGCCTTATCACCTTATTCTAATACTACTTAATTCTTTATATTTTTATAATTTATACTTCTTCATAAATTTCAATGAACATTCTTTTATAACATTCTCTTAATGTTATTTCGCCTTCTTCTTCTTAAATCTATTTTAAAAATTTATTTTAGCTTGTAAATGCTTAAATAACCTAGTTATAATATTATATTGTACTTGGATATCCTCTGATTTACGATGTTCTGGATTCTTTTCCAAAATTTCAATACATAAAGATATCTTTTAATCCATAGTTAATTCATTTATTAATGATACTAATTCTGATTTTCTTCTTTTATTCTCTGAAATTTATTTGTCTGAAAATTAAAACATAATAAATTACTAATAATTTTATTTATAAATTGTTATAAAAATGATTGATTGTGTAGATAAAAAGTATATTATAAAATATAAAATAATAAACTCAATCTATAGTTCCTCTACCATTTATTGTTTTATAACTTTAAACTAAAGATTTCAACTTATCATATTTATCTGAAGGAGCCAATCTCATAAATCCTCCCATTTATTTTGGCATTTCCCCATATCTACGTAAATGAGTACCATTTAAAATATAATTTAAATCTCTTTATAATTGTAATTTAGAATTGTTCATAGTATTAATTACAGATTTACATCCTTATTCCTCTTATATTCTTCTCTCCAATACTTCACATAATCTTTATCTATCATAATTTGGACTATCAATCAAATCAAATATATCATCAATCAACTATTATTTTATTAATTCATCCAAAATGTAATCCCTAGCTAAAGATGGAGAAGCATTTACTTCTAATAGCCAACATTTTTAATTTGTATCTATTATAATATCATAACCAAATAATTCAAAACTATTAGGATTATTGGGTATTTCAGATTAACAAGCAACCAAAGATTTTAATACTATATCTTAAACTTACTCCCAAATCTTACTCCAATCTATATTTCTATCAATTAATTTTTCTCTCAATTATCTTAAGGATATTTTACAACCTCCTAATTATGACTCTAAATCCTATATTTACACATGAGTCTTTTGTACTGCAAAATTAGTTAAATGAACAAGTTAATTTTTTAGATCATTAATATCAAGAGTAAAAGGTTATGTTGTTAAACGAGCAAATCCTTCTTTGTATAGAAATACTTCTAAAGGATTAAATGATGTTACAAGCACATATATTCTCATATCAAATTTATGTCCCTTTAATAATAATGGATTTTTAAGATATTTCTATAATACTACAGGTTCAGCATACATTACATCTGATATATCATTTAATACTGTTATTCCTCTACCTCTAGATTTTCCTGTAGGTTTCATAATCCAAATATTCTATTATCCTTCTATTTCAGAGTCTTTATAAAACTTTTCCATAAATTATACATATTCTTTTGGCAACAAAAATGTTGATGGAATTATATCAAAAATTTATTAAGCTTTAGTTCCTAGTTTTTAACATCTTTCTATATTTTTCTTTAATAAATCTTTCCTCCCTAAATTCTTATTAAATGGAAAATGATTGACTTTTTAAAAAAGAAGCAATTTATTTAAATCAATCTATGGTTTTGACCAAGTCCATAATACATTCCATGATGTTCTAAGTCCAATTCCATGAGGTAATTCTGTCCATCCTTATTTTCTCATAAATGACCTAGTTATTATATCTATTGTTATTATATTTATTACCATATACCTCTTCTTTTGTTTTCACTACTCTAAAATATCTTTCTTACTTTCCTAAATTTGTTGAATCATTTTAAAGTCGTTTATTAAAGACCATCTATCTTTAAATATATTATTGTATATCAACACCAGTTCTTGTGGAATATTGTATTAATCTATGTGGATCATTAATATAAACAAGTTCATTGGGATTAATTGCCAAAGGATTTGATTTGTACCTACTTAAGAGAGATTCAACATTATCAACTTTATCAATGTGTTATGAGAAAATACTAAATATTTCTCTCATTACATCTAAATGATTATAATGAGGTTAATTATTGAAGAATCCACTAAATAAATGTTAAAATGTTGGAACAATATCAGAATAATCTTCTAATTTTGAATCATCAATGCATTAAAGCATTTTCTAAATATATTTAGATTATGGATTCTTTGGTCTATTGTTAGTACTTGGGGTTATTGCTTTATTTATTTAAATTGGAATAGTTGATTATTATTATTTTCCCTTAAATTCATCTAATCCCATTTCTTTACAAATGTTATTAATTTCATCCATTTTCTCTTTATCAGTAAGAATAACCTTTTATTTAGTTTCAGGTACTATTTTCTATTTACTTTAATCAATCTTTCCAAGTTATTTAACTCCTTATTCTTTATTTGGTTTTAGTTTTCCAGCATTTATTTGATCATGATCACTCTCTAATTCATGAATATCATCAGCTATTTTATAATAATAAATTAATATACATTTTCTAGATTCCATTGTTAATTGTTTTTGTACATTCCCTTTCTGATTTATTGATGGTTTATTTTTCTAATCTAATTTTCTTTAAGATTATTAACTTACACTCTACTTTGAATTAATTTAATTTTTAATTGAATTTCTTTATTCTTAATTTTATTTTAGTTAAATCATACATTCATTATTCTTTTATTTATTTGTTTATTATTGTTTTGATTATTACTAAGTAAACTCTTCATTTTCATTTTCAACTTCATCATTCATGTTATCTTCATATTCTTCTTCTTCAATTTATTTATTTTGTAATAGTTAAATTTATTTTAAATAATCATCTTTCTAATTTGAATTCCCAATCAATTCATCATTATTTATATATTCATTGATAACATTATTATAATGACTATATAATAATTGATTTCTCTTCTAAATTTATTCCATCTCTTCATTTTACATTTAAATCTATTTCTATTCTCTAATTTAATTCCTATCTAATTATTCGTTAGTATTTTATTAGTTTTAAAGTAGAAACTCATTTTACTATTCTAAACCTAAATTATTATTAGTTTAATCTTAATTATGAATTTAAATTTATCCTTATTATGGAATAAATTAATGATCATCAATCCCTTTTTACAGTATATTTATATTTTGATAACCTAAATCTTATTATTTTTATTCAAAATCTTCTTAATTTTTATTTTAACTATTATTTTAATTAATGAAGCTTTTAAATTCTACTTAATTATTATGAATATTTAATTATGATTATGATTATTATGATTAAGATTATTATTATTATTATTATTATTATTATTATTATTATTATTATTATTACATATTAGTATTATTATCTTTTGTTTGACATTCTTCATTTTTATCGATATTGTTTTTAATATTTTATTCAATTTTATTTTTAATATTATCATTATCTTTGATCTTATCTTTTGGGTCATTTTGATCTAATTAATTAGTAATAACAACTAAATTATTTGATTAAATTTAAGAATTCATAATACATTTTTCACTTAACTCTTCTTTGTTTTCTTGATTATTTATATTGCAATCTAATGATTTCTATTTCAATTCAAAATTCTATTTAGAAGTACTACTTTAAGAATGAACATTTGATTATTCCATTTTTGATTATGTTTTAATTGTAAATGATTATTTGCCAATAGCAGGAAGATGTTCAAAAGTTTTACCTTAACTCTCTGTTCTTAATTTTTTCTTCTTTTTCTTTCTCATTAATTTTTCTTATTTAATTTTATCAACTGTATTTAATTGAGGTTTAGGAGGAGGTGGAATAAATCTATGATTTAATGCAGCTCCTATAATAAACTATTAATTCGAAACATCTGTTTTCTTTAAGACATCTTTCATAAAATCTTAAAGCTGATTTGGTTTTTTTGGTTGTGCTTTACTCTAAGGATGACTACTTCTGGTCATAGTACTTGTTGACAATGCATCAGATTAACTTTACTATTATTATGAAATTTTTTAAGAGCTCTACTAAGGTTATTAATTTAATTGTTATTGTTGTTATTGATTTATTTGCTATTCTTATTTTTATTGGATTGGCTATTCATATTTTTATAAAGGAGGTTTTGAAATTTACACATCCAAATAATTAGCTGGCCTATTTTTGATATCATTTAAAATAGCTTAAAGCGCATTATTTTAATAGATAGGTTATTGAATGAAATCTTCAATTTGAATATTAAAAGCAAAATTTTCTATTGCCTATCTTTCTTTAAGTTCTAACTCAATCAAATCTAAGATTTTTTTAGACTTCTTATTCCATTAAGCATCATCAGTAATAAAGGATTTTATCATAGTTTACATATCTTCTAATTGAAATGTATCCAAATCATAAATCTCTTCACATGGAATTAATAATGGAAGTTATGCCATTTTTAATTAATTAAATTATAAAACATAATTATAACATTGTTAATTTTATTACTCTAAAAATATAATCATTATTTAATAAAATTTAGAAACTCCAGTTGTTTAAGTTTACCAATTACAAAAAGTTTAATTTAAATAATATTTATATATAAGAATAGAAGTAAAATTAGAAATCAAAAAAAATTGGTTAAATATTTATTTAAAATAAATTTAAGCCTCCATTAATCTATAGGTTTTGGTAATGTATCCGAAAATATTGATAAATCCTCTTTATTTGAATCATAAGCAGAACTAGCTACAATAACTGGAGGTTTTACATTTATTGAGTTGAAAAATGATATTATCTTATTCTAAATATTATTTATACCTTTTAGGTTGCTTATAAACCATTAAGTAATGGCATCTCTATATCCATAACTATCAATTAGTAGAAAGGATGACATTTTTTTTATTAATACTTATTAATAACTAAATCTATTGCTTCAATTCCATTATAAGCAGAATCTGTAGTTATTTTTTGTTACATTAAAATAGTCTTTAGAGCTTAAATATTAAATGGAACATCATCTACAAGTAAAATAGCTGAGCAGTTGCAAGATTTTATATTAATATTTTGAATCAACTTATAATCAAGACTTTTATGTACTGAAATACAAAGAGCATCATCACTTTAAGCATTAGATATTGATTCGTTATCATCTTTTAATATTATCATATCGGAAATGTAAAATGATATTTAAGTATATTTTTAGAGTACAGATTTTATTGAGAATGCATTTTTTCTATGTTCATTAAATGCCAATCCTTATATTAGACGATTAGACATTTTCAATCCAATTCCTGATGATAATTAATTTTGAGTCATCCAATAAACACTTTCTTCAGATGATACTGAATGTAATTCTCGAAAGATAAAACTTAATTTTTATTCAGAAATTCCAAAACCTTAATCTTTGACTTTAATTTTTATATATTAATTTGAATATTTGAACTTATTTTTAAATTAAACTCTAATATGAGTATTTGAAGGGGAGAACTTTATTGAATTATTTAATAAATTGATGAGTACTTAGATAATTCTTTATTTATCATTAGTCACAATTTAATTAGTTAATTTAATTTTACATGTTAAAAGTATACCTTTATTTTAGCAAACTTAAGTATATAATTATTTTATATAATCTGCAATCTCTTTAATATTGAATTACGAATATTTATGTACGAATTAATTTGATTACATTGCTGCATAGTCTAGTATATCATTTATTTAAAATAATAACAATTTATTAGAATTTAAAGCAGGCTAAATATATTCTTGATTCATTTAATCACTTAATTTTGTGGATAATGCTTCAAGTAATTATAAAGAACTATTTAATGGTGTTCTTAATTCATGAGAAAATGAATTAAGGATACTATTTTGAATTTTTATAAATTATGTTAATTCTTTCTTTCTTTCTTTGCAAGATACATTTTATATCATCACTGCTGTAATTTCTTCAGATTTTAAAAATTATTGTAACAATGATATTTTAATAACTTTTATTTTAGTAATTCCATTTTTGCCTATTTCCTTATATCTGTAAATGAGGTTGAATTATTCTTCCTTTTAATTTAAAATAGCTTATATAGGATCATCTATTTTAATACTAGATAAAAAAGGTCGATTTGATATTTAATTATCATCTAGATTATTTACATCTTCTGGTGCTCCAATATGATCAAGTAACATTCTATTTGTATTTCAAAAATTATTACTTTATCAATTATTGTTTTAACTATTTCATGATATCTTCATTTCTTTCACAATCAAAGTTCTTAAAATATTACTTAGCAAATGTATTTAAATACTTTATATTTTATTATAAATCCAGTATAATCATACCAATTGGCAAATTATCAAGAATTGCTAATTCACTATCTAATTATTTTAATGATACTATTAGATTTGTTTAAGAATTGAATTATAAAGGATTATTAATATCATGAGATTTAACTATAATGCTTTTTTTCTTCATCCTAGATTATAAATATGATTTCATCCATAAAATAAAAGAAAATATAACTGAAATAATGATTTAGGTACTTTCAAAAAAATGATTTTCCCAAAAAAATATGACTCTGAAAACTTGAGAGATTAGAAGTAATATTCTAAAAGCCTTATTTAATTCAATTTCAAACTCTAATTCACAACTTAAAATCTGTGTTAAGACTATAAATAAGAATGTAAAATTGGTCTACTATAAAATTTATTAGGCGTTAATAAAAGAAAGTAGATATATCAGTTTTCTTCTTAGAGTAGGTTTGATTAATAAAACAGCACTTGTAATTATTTAACCTATTGTTATTATTAATTGTAATCTATTTATTTCTGAGTTGAAAACTAATACTTATATTACAATTAGGATTCCACTTATCAGTAAAGCTATTGGTATCAAGAATGAATTATCCATAATTTAATTAAACTGTATATTATTATATAATAAATACATAAATAGGAATCTTTCAGTCAAATTATAGTATATTTTAATTAATATTCATCTTAAGTATTTCTCTATGATGTATTATAAACTCATTTTTGTAATAGGTTTAGGTAATACATCTTTCATTAAACAACTTTAACACATTTTGATACATTCTTAATTATCATATGCTGAACACATTATTATTGTAGTTTAATCACTTTTATCTCCAAGTATTTATTTAATTTTGAGAGAAGCTTCAAATCCATTCAACTTTGGCATCTCTATATCCATAAGAATTAATGAATAAAATGGATGACATTTATTATTCTAAATTCTTAATTAAATAAGATCTATAGCTTATTAACCATCATATACACTATCTGCTTAATAATTTAATTCATTTAAAATCATTTTTAAGGCATGATGATTAAATGGAATATCATCAACAATTAAAATTTTATTACATTTACAAATTATTTATTTAATAAATTTAAACTCTCTTGTTGTAAGTTGACTTAATTATCTACTCAATTAAGCATCTTTTATAGGTGTTTCAGATGATTAACTATTGTTATCTTCTAAGAAATCTTCAATTATAAAAGATATAATTGTTCCTTTATTCAGAGTTGAATCTATATTTAATCCATTTTATAATGATGACATACCTCTAATCAATCTATTAGCAACTTTTAATCCTAATCCAACATGAAATTGATTATATACACTTTCTAAATTATCTTATTCAATATTAATTTATAATTGCCAAAGTTATTCCTACGATAAACCTAATCCAGTATCAATTACTTAAATTTAATACATATTATTTTTAGTCTCTTATACTTTTAATACAATTTCACCTTATTATTATGTGAATTTAATTGAATTATTTAAAAGATTTACAATTACTTATTTCATTCTTTTGTAATCATTATTTACCATTTGTTTATCTTAAGAATTCATTTCTAATTTTAAATTTATATCTTTTTCTTTACAAGCTTAAAAATATATTGAAATGCATTCTTTTAATAAATCTTCTAAATAAAATAATGAGAAATCCCAACGAAAATCATTAATCTCAAATGATGCATAATCAAGAATATCATTAATTTAACATAACAATAAATCAGTTTGCCATTTTATTGGTTTTAATATATTTTCTTATAAATCTGAATTCACTTTTAACATAACAACTTCCAATAATTATTAAATACAATTTAAAGGAGTTTTTAATTCATGTGAAAATGAGTTTAACAATTAATTCTAAAAAATATGCTTACTTTTCTAATCTAATTTTCCAATCTTAGATGTCTCATCTAATAAATTAATTATAATCTAATCATGAAGTCTCATAAAATGAAATCTAAAACATCTTTTTTTACCTTTATAATTGTATTAAATTCTATATTTGTTCTATAAATATATATTATATTACATCCATATATTATTATGAGTATGGAACAAAATCATTAGATTAATTCAATACACTATTGATAGGATCAATTTATTTTATAAAGTTATCATCTAAATTTGGCATACTCACTCTTTGATTTTGATTGAATTAGGTTATTAATTGATGAATTCTAGTTTAACTAGGTCTAAATAGATTTCCAAGACTTGTTATTTTTTCATTAATGCATCTAAAATATATATATATATATGATTTCATACTTCTTTAATAGTTCTTTGATTATAATTACAACATTGTCTTCTGATATTTGTGTATTTGAAGCTCTCTCCAATAAGATTCTTGCTCTTTTATTCATATATTGAAAATTATGATCAAATGTTAAGACAACTAATCCAATTGGTAAATGGTCAAAAATTTAAATTTCATTGCTTCTTGTAGGTTATGTTTTGTTTATTAATATTCTCTAAAATTCATTCATCTTTGGAGTAACTAATTCTAAGTCTAATGATTTAATGTATGATTCCTTTCTCTTTTAATATTAATATGCAATGATACTAAGTGTATAGATAAATGTAGTTGTTATACTCAAATAAAAAGTAGAATTGTATGCTTCAAATGAAATAATTATCTTAATTATGGATGAAAATAGTAACTCCAATAATATGGGTAATTCAAAGTTAGGATTATTTTGAATTAGTTTATAAGCCAAATAAATCCAACTCAATTAAAATTGAAAATGTTAAAATTCTTTCTAGTTATACTTTGAGTTTTCTTAAATAACAATTATAAGTATAAATTGAATGACTTATTAGAGCTTTGGTTATTTTATGATACAAAATAGTATTGTAAATAATAAAATGGAACCATAAATTGATATAGATATGTATTCTTTGAAAATTGCACTGATCACTATTGCTGCTATAGAATTGCATATAATCTAAAATATTATTAATTTTAGTTTAATCATTAATAATTTAATTAATTTAGAGATTAGATATAATGAAAGGCTTTTTATTATAAAAATTAGAAAAATATGGATACAATTTCATTTAATAATTATATTTAGAAAATTTAATAAATTAACACACTATTTAATAATTTATTTCTATATATATTATATAATTTATTATTCTACAGCAATTATCATGAATGAATAGAATTAATTCATTTATGAATTTCTATATCAATTTAAATTCCTTAATAATATTTATGCTAGTTATAAATTAAATAAACTTTTTAATAGACAAATTACTCTAAAATATCAAATATATGATCATCTAATTAATTAAAGGAATATCATCAATAATTTAAGAAAATTACAAAATAGATATTAATTATATTCTAATTTGTTATATGAGATGGATTGCATATAAGAAAATTGTGTAGGAAATATTGATTCTATTGACCAATTTAATCTTAAATGTAAAAATAAACAAGGGTTTTTTTGATTTTAAATGGATGAAATCTTATATCTGTTAAATCCTTTAATCATTATTGTTTGAGTATTTTTAATTTCAATCCTTTGTATATTAAAGGTTTAGCATCGAAATAATTGAAGTGGTAAGTTTGTTCTTAATTTTATCTTTCAAATTTAGATGTGATTTCTAATATTAAAATTATTATAAAAATTATTATTTCTTTTGATTTAATTTTTAATTTAACATTTTTTATATTCAATTAGAATTGATATCTAACAATCTTTTTGATTTTTGATAATTGATTCTAATGGAGTTATTTTTATATTAGAATGAATATCGAGTTTGAAATCAGAATGAATATCGATGATATTTATTAATCATTGAGATGATCAATTTGGAAATTTATTGTTTATGAATTTTTTTTGCTTAATAATCTAAATTGTGTCTATTTTAATATCTAAAATATGGTTTTCATTTGAATTTTAATCCTATTCAAACTATAAATATAATCTATATATATATATTATTATATGTAGTGATTCATATTTAAAAGTAAAAAAGCTACACAATCCATGAAGATTGAGACCAATAATAAGCACATTAAGGACTAAATAGACTAAATAATCATAATTTGTTTCTTCAAGGTCCTAAAAATAAAAATAGTAAGTACTATGAATGCAGTCAATAATCCTTAAATCAAGTGTTTATATATAATAACTAGTTTTAAACTATAAATAACAGTATCCTATTGATGGATGAATAAAGAAGATGGATCTCATATTAGGTAATAATTAATTTAGTTTAAAATATTATCTAATTTATTTAATATAACAATATTTGTTTAGAATTCATATATGATAAAATTAAAGTAGTTAATTATTAATTATAGAATCTCAAGATTTCTGGTAATCAAATGAGAGTATTCTATTTTAATTTTTATTAAATTATATGTAACTCGATTCCAAGACTGTAGTTATTGTAACAGGGGGAGCGTCAGGATTAGGGTTGGCCACAGTTGAATTGTTAATCCAGAAACAATGCAAAGTTGTGGCTGCAGATTTTAATGAGGTTGAAATATAAATGAATTTGCAAGGAGAAAGGTGAAGAATTAATAAAGAGATTTGAGAATTGCAATCTTAGATACTTTAAATGTGATGTCTAAAACGAAGAAGAAATAAGAAAACTGATTGAATTTACAATCACTGAATTTGGATAAATCAATTTAGTAGTGAATTCGGCAGGTATTCCATCAGCCTAGATGACAGCAACTAGATCAAGTGTTGCTTCTACATCTGAAATGAATATATTAATGTAGATCAATGTTATAGGCACATTTAATGTTTGTAAATATGCTGCTTAACATATGATAAAATCTTAAGTTAAAGGAGTGATTGTTAATGTAGCAAGTTTAGCTGGTATTGAAGGATAAAGAGGTTAAGTGATATATTCAGCTTCAAAGGGAGCTGTAATTGCTATGACATTACCTATGGCAAGAGACTTGGGTAAACATGGAATCAGAGTTGTCACTATTGCACCAGGGGTAATACATTATTGTAAAATTTAATTAGATTATATATACACCTATGTTTGAAATGATCTAACCTAAAATTAAAGAACAATTAGAATCTCAAGTGGCTTTGGGAAGATTAGGAGCTGCAAAAGAATTCGCATAGCTAGTTGAAATGATATATTAATCAGAGTATTTAACGGGGTGTGTATTACGTTTAGATGGAGGATTACGTGTGCCTCATTTATGATTAATATTATTAATAAATCAGACGTCATTTTTAATGAAATTAGATCAGAATACAGTTTGCTTAGTAACAGGAGGAGCTTCAGGTTTAGGATTGGCTACAGTTTTAGCCTTTTTGGCAAAAGGATGCAAAGTAGTCATTGCAGATTTCAATTAAGTAATAACATATATTAATCCTTATTTAGGAAGCTGGAGATAAAATTTTATCAGAGTAGAACACTCCTAATTTAAAATTTTTTAAGACTGATGTTTCAAATGAAGAAAATGTTATCCAATTGATTAAATATACAGTAAGTGAATTTGGTGGAATTCATGTTGTTGTAAATTCAGCTGGTGTCATTTCTGCTGGATACTTAGTCACACCTAAAGGAACTATTCCAGTTGATGAAATGATGAGAGTCTTGAAGATCAATGTTGTTGGAACTTTCAATGTATCAAAACATGCAGCTGTAGAAATGATAAAATAAGAACCTTAAGGAGAATTCAAAGAGAGAGGTGTGATAATTAACGTAGCTAGTCTTGCTGGCATAGAAGGATAAAAAGGTCAAACTGTTTATTCTGCAAGCAAAGGAGCTGTAATTGGAATGACATTACCTATGGCAAGGGATTTAGGAAAATATGGAATTAGAGTTATGACTTTGGCACCTGGAGTAAAATGATATATCATTATTTTAAGGTTTTCTAAACTCCAATGGGACATAATTTAACAGAAAAAGTTTTAGGACCTTTAAGAAAATCAGCTGCTTTAGAACGATTTGGTTAACCTTCTGAATTTGCTGAATCTGTTATTGGAATATGTTAATGCTCATACTTAACTGGTGAAGTCATTAGACTTGATGGTGGAAGTAGATTACCAAACTTTTGAGTATTTTAAGCAATAAACATTAATTTTAACATTGTTTATTATATAATTTATTCAAATACTCCATGTATCTTTTTCTCTTGCATCCAATTCAAATCCAAATTGAATAGAATCAACAACTTTAGGTCCACAAAATATACATTCACTAGCAACAATTTTATCAAACTTTTCTTTAGTTTCTCTCAATAATTTCTCTTCATCTGGAGTTAATGTAGATTATGGTCTCTATTCTTATTTGGCACCTCCAAATATGTTCATTATTTAAAAGAAAGATTAACCATCTAATTAGAAAAATATACTTATTTATTACCTTATTATTTTTTATTAGTATTTTGACTAGGATTAGATTTGACTAAGATAGATTACATTGTCATATCATATGTTTCTATCTATGGAATATTAGCTTGATGTTGAGGCAATGATTTAATCTTTGTAACTATACAATCCTATTTATATCGGATAAGTTTACTTTATGAAATCCATGATTACATGGGAAAATATAAAATGTATCATTAAATAATTATTTAGCACAATGATCACATTTTTATTATGTATCAATAATTAAAAATTTATTTTTTGTCATTTTTAATTCATTTTTTAATTAATCTGAATTAGCTGATAACTTTTTCATTTCATCTTTTAATTTTTCAATTTCTTCATTATATTTCTTAAGAGAATTACAAATTTCATCTTTGAATTGTTCAATTTTGATATTTTCATTAAAATGAGGTAAAAGATCTTCAATTTTAATTTACTAACTATTTTTTGTAAGTTCAATAACCTTATCAATATCTTAATTTTAAGATAATAATCTTTCAGCAATCATCATCCATAATTTCTTCTTTTTCTCATCATCATCTTCTGGTTTTTAAGCATATTCTTTAGCTTTTTCAATCATTCCATAATCTAAAGCTAAAGTAACTGATTCAGTATAAAGAGACATCATTCCATAAATAGTGATTTAAGCATCTATACAACTTGCTTATTTGAATAGTCTTAATGCAAAATCTAAATCAAAATTAACCTTCTCTGTCTTTTTTAATATAGCTTCTTATTCTTATAAATAATAATTAAGTTTTTCTTTCTATAATGGTTAAGTTAAAAAGAATATTAAAATATTATGAATACTTTTATCAGCACAATCTAATTTAGTTATTGAATGTTCTAAGAATCTTATTCCAAATTCTCTTTTTTCTACTGGAATATTCATAAGACCACCAATAATTTTGGTTTAATCAAATTTCTTTATATTCTTTTATAAAATATCTAATGTTTATTCTGGTTCATGTTTCATAAGAATAAATGAATATTTTTATATGATTTCCATAGAACTCTTTTCTTTAACATTATTCAAATTTTTAATAGCTTCTTTATAATTTTCTTCATTAATATAATGTTAAATGATCATTTCATAATTATTATTCAATTTAGCATATTCAACACAATTTTATAATCTACCATGACTTACCATAATTTAATATACTAAATTTTAATCTAATTNTGGTCTCTATTCTTATTTGGCACCTCCAAATATGTTCATTATTTAAAAGAAAGATTAACCATCTAATTAGAAAAATATACTTATTTATTACCTTATTATTTTTTATTAGTATTTTGACTAGGATTAGATTTGACTAAGATAGATTACATTGTCATATCATATGTTTCTATCTATGGAATATTAGCTTGATGTTGAGGCAATGATTTAATCTTTGTAACTATACAATCCTATTTATATCGGATAAGTTTACTTTATGAAATCCATGATTACATGGGAAAATATAAAATGTATCATTAAATAATTATTTAGCACAATGATCACATTTTTATTATGTATCAATAATTAAAAATTTATTTTTTGTCATTTTTAATTCATTTTTTAATTAATCTGAATTAGCTGATAACTTTTTCATTTCATCTTTTAATTTTTCAATTTCTTCATTATATTTCTTAAGAGAATTACAAATTTCATCTTTGAATTGTTCAATTTTGATATTTTCATTAAAATGAGGTAAAAGATCTTCAATTTTAATTTACTAACTATTTTTTGTAAGTTCAATAACCTTATCAATATCTTAATTTTAAGATAATAATCTTTCAGCAATCATCATCCATAATTTCTTCTTTTTCTCATCATCATCTTCTGGTTTTTAAGCATATTCTTTAGCTTTTTCAATCATTCCATAATCTAAAGCTAAAGTAACTGATTCAGTATAAAGAGACATCATTCCATAAATAGTGATTTAAGCATCTATACAACTTGCTTATTTGAATAGTCTTAATGCAAAATCTAAATCAAAATTAACCTTCTCTGTCTTTTTTAATATAGCTTCTTATTCTTATAAATAATAATTAAGTTTTTCTTTCTATAATGGTTAAGTTAAAAAGAATATTAAAATATTATGAATACTTTTATCAGCACAATCTAATTTAGTTATTGAATGTTCTAAGAATCTTATTCCAAATTCTCTTTTTTCTACTGGAATATTCATAAGACCACCAATAATTTTGGTTTAATCAAATTTCTTTATATTCTTTTATAAAATATCTAATGTTTATTCTGGTTCATGTTTCATAAGAATAAATGAATATTTTTATATGATTTCCATAGAACTCTTTTCTTTAACATTATTCAAATTTTTAATAGCTTCTTTATAATTTTCTTCATTAATATAATGTTAAATGATCATTTCATAATTATTATTCAATTTAGCATATTCAACACAATTTTATAATCTACCATGACTTACCATAATTTAATATACTAAATTTTAATCTAATTCTAATTTATAAGTTTTCAGAAAATTATCTAAATCTTCATTTAATTAGTTTAATTATTATTTCTTTTCTTTGATATCTTTATCTCTTTATGCATCATTCTCATAATTTCTATTTTCATGTATTAACTTTTCTTATTCATTTAATCTATAAATTAATAATTCTGCAAGCCATCCCAATACAAGTGTCCTTTCAGTTTCTCCTTTCAAATTATTAATTAAATGTTTTAAATACTATTCTAATCCAATTCTTGCTTTCATATCATCACAATTCAAAAATTTCAAGAAAATCTCTTCAAAATTTTTTGAAGACTTTTAGTAATAAGATGCAGCTTCATTATATCTTTTTTATTAGAATAATTAATCTCCACATAAACCAGCAATATATTTAGTATATTCTGAATTATACTTATTTGATATTTCATAAGCTTCTATATACATTTTTTAATCCATTAATAATTTCCATGCTTCCTTATCTTCATCTTCAGTTTCTATTTTACAAAATGTCCTTTCAGAATAAATCCAAAATACTTTGCCATCTCTTTCATATTACATACCCATTATTCTACCCATACCTCTAAGTTCATATTTTTATACTTCTTATTAAGTTATTTTACTAAAAATAGTCAAAGAATCAGCACTTAAAATAAAATAATGAAATTCTGTTAATCCTATTTAGACTGGCATTTCTGAATAATTATTAACTGTTTTTAATTATTTTGCTTATTACAATATTGATTCATTCAAATCCTTTTCAGGAAGAGTGAATAAATTTAATGATTTCCCATTTGTAAATAGAAATGAATTTTTTCTCTAAGATACAGCTAATAAACTAGTATGATAACGAGATGGTTATGATTCTGCTCTAGCAACACTTTAAGGATCTTTATATTTAGTAAATAAAATGCTAAGACTATTCAATCCATAAAAGAAGAATAAACTAAAGTTAGTTGAAACAACAACACAAGCATATTTATTATTATCATACATTACTGTAAATTATTCTATTTAATTGATTTATCTTTCATTTGGAATTGTGACCATTAATTTTGCTTCTTCTTCTCTTACATCTCCTTATCTACAATCAATTCTATATATATAGATTTTAGAATCTTTTGTTGCTAACAATATTTCATGAGTGTCAGTTTCATCACATTAATCATCCCAACCAATACATTTAATCTATTTTCCTTTTAATTATTCCATTGATCTAATCTTATCTGATCTAACATTTATGTAAAAACTTTCCCCATTGTCTGAAACTATCAAAGCATGTGGTCCATATAAAAATAATCTCTCTAATATAATATCTTTTCTTTCATTTCTCTTTCCTCCTAATAATTTTCCTGTCAAACCACTTTATTGTACTTCTGGTAATTCCATTTACACACAATGATCATCTTTTTCTGGTCTCCATCGATATATGTTATTTTATCTTGTTATTATTACAAACATATGTGATGATATTCCTGCCTACTTTATTTATTCATTCTTTGGAAAATTGGGAATATCAAATGGTTTATTAACAAATAATTCCACTCTTGCTATTTCTTCCTTGTCAAATCCAACATCTTCAGGCTTTTATTTAACATATATTAATACCTAATCCATGTGATCATCATTAATCCATTGATTATCATCCATTCTACCTTGAAGCATTTTATTTATAATTAATATTATATCAATACTTTTTATGTAATAATAAATCAATCTAATCATTCATCAAATGGAATTATAACACTAAAACGATAAGATTTTCTGGGTGTCTCCCACTTTCTTACTAAATCATTTATTTTTGATTGTTTTTATTTCAAATTCTTAAAGGATCTTTTCTTATAAAAATTTAATAATTTTAATCTCTATGTCTTAATCTTTTAAAATTTCATTATGAACTCATAAGGATAATACATATATCTTATTAATTAAGTAATAGGCTTTAAAAGTAAGGTATGATATTTCTATTCTATTTATAAAATAATGTTTTCTATATTATGATTAACCATATAAGAACTGAAATTTTTGACAACCTCAAATTACTCTATACCTTATTGTGCTTTAAATGAATAGTATAATATTTGTAAATCGTATATTGATCTATCAAAAGGTATTACTGTTTCTTCGTTAAAGATTTTATTGTACAATAATTCAATATTCTAATAAATACTATCCTAAATATCAATCTTTAATGATTCATCAGTATCAATTAAAGCAATTTTAGGATTTTATTGTGAACACATCTTTTTATATTTTGATAATTTTGCAGTCATAAATTTATTAGTATTAAGCATGCATTATTATCTGGTAGACAATTTCAAATTCTATATCGAATTATTATCACTTGATGCAATAGAATCATTAATATTAATTTATTTCTAAATTGATATTGCTTCACCACTCTATAAAGAACATCTTGGTAATTAAATAGATTCCTATCTTTTAAAATGAAATGTTTTATTTATTGGAGATTATTCATTCATATCAGATTTACCATCATCAAAATCCTATTCTTAGGTTAATTATTTTGATAACTAATTTTAAACTAATTTTGGTTATTCATTTTAAAAGTATATTGCGAATTATTCTATAATTTCTCTATCACATCTAGTTGAAAAAGATGTCTTTCCTCTTTTTTTGGATCTCTTCATATATTTCCTATATTGATCTTATGAATATTGATATCTTTTGATAATCAATTCTCTATCAATACTGAGAGATAAATTTGGACACTCTTTCAATCCATGACTAGTGATATTGCATGCTGCACAATATTATCCAAATACTAAATGTTTAGGTTTTACTTGAAGTACAAATTAATCTTTTAAATTACAATACTTTTAATAATCTTTGGGATATTAACGTATTATGGACATGAAATCTGACTAGTAATCTAATAAAATTAATTACCTTACTCAAAACAAGTAAACTTACATATCCTATAGCTTTAAATGTTTAGATATTATCATTTTCTTCAATAAATTCTGATACATCCAAAAATTATCCATGATTCTATACAGTTTTCAAAGATACATTTAGAACATTTTGATATTACAATTAACCCTATTCTACAAAACATAAATGAGGTTAATAAACATCACTTAAAGTGTAAATAGAAAATGTATTTTAAGGCTAAATTATTCTTCTTTTAATAAAAGGGGAAAGGGAATTCTATAATTCTAAACTGAAATTTTTAAATAGAAAATCACAATGTTTAAAAAATACATTATTTGCTTACTTTTTTAAATCCTATTTTAATTCTTCAGATAATTCATTCAATAAAGTTTCTTCTTATTACAAATCAATTTCTGCTTCCTCCTTCCATCTAAAGGTCAAATATTCTCTAATTCTATATTACAAAGAAAAAGGGATATTTCTTTGATGCATATATCTATTGATTATTCTAATCTTTCTGCTTCTTTCCATAAAATGTTGATTGATTTCTTTAATGATAGTACCTATGGCATTAATACTGTACGAAAACCATAAACAAGCACTTAATATAAAGAATATTGCAACAAATTTTTCATTCCATGTTTTTGGTACATTATCACCATATCCAATAGTGAGCATAGTAACAATAGCAAAATAGAATGCTTCTAAATATTATAGTTACCATTATTAATGATCTAATTCTTTAAAAATAATCCAGGAATTCCCATAATTTAATGAACTATTGAAAAACCATATACAAGCGAATAAGTGGAGGACATAAATTAAATAGATTAATAATTTAAATAAATTGATAAATGCTTTTTATTTTTTTGTAAAATATTGAGATTCTTCACTTTTTTATAACGTTTAATTAATTTGATAGTGTTGAGTCAGAGATATTAAAAGCATTAAATATTAAAATTAATTTCCTTCATTTTTTATAAAGTAGATTAATAAAAATATTAATGCGAAATCTGAAATTGTTTATAGATTTAAATTGACTTTTATAATTTACCATCTATCATAGACTGCCTATCCACTTAAGTAACAAATAGTATTCAATCTTAATAAATTATCAAGAATTAAGATAATGATAATAGTAACAGTAAGTCCTATTAATTTATCAAATAAAATTTAAGGATTATAGGCAATTTCTAATGGAATTAATATTAATAAAAGCAACCTAAAAAGAATAGTCCAATAATCCCAAACAATCTTCTTTAAGGATTCAGGATGTATTTATGGTATTTTAGATAAAATCTCATAGGTGGACTTTCTAATTTATTAATATTTTTCTCTAATCCAAATAATGAATGGATGTTCATGTGAAGATAGAGAATTATCATGAAATAATTTGGTAACATTGCGTATTTGAAAATGTTGGTGATTGTTTAATTTAAGAATTTAAATCATCACTTAACTAAATAATATTGATGATACCTATCACTTGAATTATCATTAATTAATTTAATGTGATTTTCATTGACATTAGATAACTTAGTTCTATTGTTCCTTATACGTTATATAAATCGTTTTAGATAAAAATATTTCATAAGATTAGTGCCTGTCTTTTTACATGTATTTCTTTTGATTTCCTCATCTTAATTGATTAATGGCTTAATAATGAATAAATTATTACTTCGCAATTTCTGCGAGTGTCTATATTTGTTGTTGATTTAATTGTGAAATTGTTGGTACTTGGATTTCTTGTCCTTATTCTTGAAACTAAATCTGCTTCCAAATATTCCTTTTCATATTCATTTTGTTGTTCTGCCTATAATTCGATTTGAAGATTTTCAGGTTATGAACTTAAGGCTGAAAATATTATATCTGTGCCATTCATTTATAAAATTATATAATCATTTAAAAACTCTTTTATTCTTGTTGTTATTCATATCTTTCTTTTCTTATACTTCAAATTTATTAACCTTTTCGTATTTTATCCTATAATCATATTCTTTTTGCTCTTTTCTTACATTAATAATAATTGGCTTCATAACTTAAATTGTCTACCACTAGTATTTTTCTATTAGATCTCTTCCGAAATTTATAGTGACCAAAAGGACACACAAAACCAACTCCAAATATTATAAATACTATTAAATCATCTTATCAATATAAATTCCATAAATTATATTTTCTTCTTATATAGAATGAATTGAACTAGTTTGACTTAGGATGTTAATTCTATTCTCTTTATATAATCTAGTTTATTTTTTTTACCTTCTCTTTAATATAGGTTATGCCTTTCCTCAAATGTTCCTAAATTTTATAATTTCTATAGTTCACCTTCAGTTTGAAATATTTAACTTTTTGCTGACTACAAACTTATTTAATCTAATCATATTTTATAAAATTTTAAATTTCCTTATATATGTGGAAATATAAACATCCACGTAGATGGATCTATTCTTTTAGCATGCTTATTAATTAATAATATATTATTGTAATATGTTAAAACAAATCAAGGATAAGTCACTTTCATAACTTATAGTAGAGTTGTAATAGAAATATTAAGAAGAGAATGACCAATCGAATTTATTCTAGAAACTTTATCAATAATAAGTGGAATAAGAAAGTTCTACAGAATCATCTAATTTTGTTCCTCCTCTCTTTTCTGGATCTACTGGTTCCTAATCCTCTAATTAATATGAAGGTAAAAAAATTCTTGTATCAAAGGAGTGGAAAAAAAAATAAAGAAAACCAAAATAAGCTAAAATCCTAACAAAGTAACTCAGGATGATAAAAAACCTTTAACAGAGGTAAAAGATAAAAAAACTCAATTAATGATTCGAAATAGAATATCAGCATAAAATTCTAGAGATAGGAAGAAAGCTTACCTATAAAAATTAGAAAGTGATTTTTAAAAATAATCTAATTATCTTCAAGAATTGACAGAATAAGTTAGTCATCTACAATAGTAATTAGAAGAAGCTCAAAAACTTAATTTGAATTTGTAATAATATTAATAGAATCTAATTTGTAATAATTGTGGAAGTAAGTAATTTATCTTTGAAGAAGATGAACCTATTTCTGTTTCTAAAAATAGAAGTTTAAGCAAATTAGGATTTTCATTTATAGTTATATTAACTATTTTTGCTTGTCTTTCTATTAACTTTGATACTAAACCTCAAAATTTGCTTATCTCTCCATAAATATAGTTAGAGAAACCATTTATTAAAGAGATAAATAGTACTGATTAACATTATGGAATTTTGAAGTAAGTTGAAAATAGTAGAATTAAAGGGGTAACCTAATTAATGGAGTATAATTCAGAATATAATAAAAAATTTTATGATACAATTTATCAGGCCAACTTAAATACTAAAGAAAGTTTTGTCAATGAAATGATAAATTATAATAAAGAAAAGGCCAAGTAAAATAATGGTAAGGCATTAGCCCCATTAAATTATCATAACCCATAAGTAGATTCATTTTATTGCCCAACCGTTTATAAGTATGACAACCAAACTTAGGGGTAATTTAATAGAATAAGTTAGTAAAATATAGGTGAAATACTAGGATGAATAATGGATTCATTTAGTTATACCAAAGAATAATTACAATATATTTTATCAAAATTAAGATAAATCAATAATATTAAAAGAAACATATGCAGACTAAGATGGTGAAATGAAATATCAAGAAATTTGGTGTTAAGTCAAAAGTAAAGATGACTTCTATATTTGAAACATTAATTTTATTAGCTAGAAGTTTACTATCAATATTTATAAATAAATTATAGAAAATAATTACATATATTCTTCCTTTTTTCTTCTAAACTAATCAAATTAAATTTAATTAACTTTCTTCCATCTAATAAATTTTCATTCTTAGCCTTTTAATGAATTATATATGAATTATTGAGTAAAATATATCAATTTTATTATAATATTTTAATAATATTTAAATATTTTAATAATATTTGTTATTAATAGAATCATAATTACATTTACTGATAATATAGTTTCTTTATATTGCAAATCATTAATTAGGTCAGCTATTCAATAATTCCTATTCTATCTTTGTTAAATTTATGTTCACTTGAACTTATTATTCTATTACTAAATGGGTTTAATTACATCTCTAAATTAAAATATCCTTCTTCTTTTCAATATCTATTATTTCTCAGAAAATTAAGGTGACTCAATTTAAAATAACTATTTCAAAATATTTCTATAATTAAACTTGCCTTCCATCGTTTCAACCTATATTCTATATATCGATCTCTAAAAACCAGTAATTTTCAAAACTCGAACTAAAGGTTTTCCAATTATTATGCATTATCTAATAAATTTGCAATAGAGTTGCATATGCAATAAATAATTAAATCTCTCCAATATCATGCTATTTATCCATAAATTTTATATAAGTTTTTTTTAAAATATAATCTAATTAAATAGATTAAACTTTATTCTAAAGATGTCTCAAAAAATCCTTCTATTTAATACTAATTGATGGTGAGTTTTGATTATTTGAATTTGCTTCTTAGTTACTCAATTTTATAATAAGAAAGTGTCTTCCTTAATTTTTTTAAGATAAACTTATATTTATTCGAAAAATATTTTATTAAAGAAAAAACACAATTCTAAGAATTAATTTAAATAATGAGTTTATTATTTTGTTTTAGTGGAGAAATAATGTAAATAAAATAAAATGATCATTTTTATACAGGACTATAAAGGCTGGGTTTAATCTTTGATTTTCTAATTATGCTTTATATGTGATCTGATCTTAATGATTTTTTTGGTTTTTTAAGTTTTTATAGAATCTTATCGAGATTGGAATTTGTAAAGTAATATGTGGTTATGAAATACCTGTCTAATTCAAAATCAATTCTTTGATATTAGTTATCACCTTACTTAGGAGAAAGAGCTTCATCCAATTAATTAATGATATTACTTCCTACAATTTCCAATTTTGATTAAGTTTTAGTTGGTAATTCTAAATCCATATTAGAATATGAATTAGAATTATTTTTACGTAATTTTTACAAACTAGGATTTTAAACAGATTAACTTTGAAAATTTTATTCCTAAGAAATTTGTGAAATATTAGTAAATCTATTGTTTGATATTCTGGTTAACCTTTAAAAGGTCTTATGTCTATTATCAGCTTTTCTTTTAAAAGAATTTTATGCTCTTAAAACTTTAGGTTCAGGTTCAGATATTTCTTAAAATTTGACTTTCTTTTATTCCATACTTTATAAATGATTATATCTAGATGATTTAGGTGTTTTAGTTTTATTTAATTAGACATCTGAATCATGAGCACTTTCAGAGGAATCACTACTAAATTATTCAAAACCTGTAAGTCCTCTATGTATAGATTTACTAGATTTTTGACTTTTAATTGTTTTAATTAGTCTTTCATTTTCATCATCATCCATATTGAATCCTAATGTATCTAAATATTAATCAGTTAAATCATCAATTGCAATCATATTATCATTTACAATTAATGCTAAAGCATGTTCTCTTATTATATTTCTTTAAAACTATTTTTTCACAAAATCTCTCTCATATTATTTTCTATTCATATCTTCTGATATCATAAACTTCTTTCTAATTCTATCTAAATTAAAATGAACAAAAACTAATGGACATCTAAATTTAATGTATATAAATATACTTTTTAAATTAATGTGTCCATTTACATATATAACAGACTTCACCATAGTTTTATTTTTCTTCTGTAAACAACATTTAATCTCTAAGCATACAATAATTTTCTTCTTCTAATGAATCTTCTCTTATAATTCTTAAGAAATCTTCATAACTAAAACTTATATATTATTTATTACTTTATAAATGCAATTTAACAAAATTTAACTGATCTAATTGTATATTCATATCTTGCTTATGTAATAAATTCTTTTTCTCCTACAAATTTGCCTTTCTCTATTTTAGTCAAAATTGTTTCCCTTAATTTTTAATCACCTATAAATTAAGAATTTATAATTACAAATTAAACTTAACTCTCCACTTTAGAGGAATATTAATTTATTTGCTTATTCATTTTAATAAGCAATAATCTCTTCAGGTGGTACTTTTATTTCATGTACAAAAGAACATAATTTTTATACACTTTTTAAAGATAAAGTCTATTTGATAAGTCTTGATTTTTTTAACATTTCACAATACATATCTATTGCAACTTATTCTTTTAATTTCTTATCTAAATTATGCATCATTTTTTCTCCAAATTCATTATATTCTTATTCCATTCTTAAAAAATATTCAAAATATTTTCTAACTTATAACATTAATTATTTATTAATTTTCTTTTTTTTTAAAAAACCATTGATATGCATCATTTATTATTTAAATAATTATTCTTTTTCAGTTAGTTACTTTAATATATTTCCAATACTAGATATAGTATAACCAAACAATCCACAAATAACCATTGCCATTATTATAACATAAATTCTTTCAACATCTGTTTATGGTACAATATCACCATAACCAATTGTTAAAGTGGTGATTGTACTAAAATAAAAAGCATGAATATATTTAGTTGACCATTCCGCTTATGTAATGTTTTTGGCAATCAACCAAGAATTTTAACCTGAATCTAATTCCATCTCTCCTATTAAATTCCATAAACAAGCACAAAAATGAGATACAAATAATACTAAGAATATAGATTTGAATAATTCTAAAATTGTTTAAACATTATTAGATGGATTTGTAACCTCTTCAATAGTTTCAATCATAGATTTAACTTTTGTTACTCTAAGTAATAATATATATTCTGTATAAGGTACTGCATAAGAGGATAAAATAAATGGTATAACGATCATTAAATCCCATAATAATGTTGAATTTGCATAATGCTTAAGAATTTATTATTTATCTCTATGGATTTGCCCTTAACTATAATAGGCAGTGAAAAATGTCAAAATTATATCCATTACAAATGTCCAAGAAGGTAAAGTTTCTAAAAATATTCCAGTCAATAAATCTTCTCTTTCAAAGTCAAACCCTAATTTCATAGGAATATAGAAGATATTTATAATGATCTGTGTTAAAACGAATATATCCCAAAATACTTTTATTACAGAGTCAGGATCAAGTACAGGTATTTAATTTATAAACCACTTAAA